AGCGTCACCAATTATCGACAAGTGCAATCCGAACCACAGTGCAATATCACTCGACCTATCTTGCGAATGGCTGTTATCAAAAAGGTTAAAGATGAGAGTTGGCCTGAGGATTGGGAGAAAGGAACCCCGAGCTGTTGTGGGGAATGTAAATTAGTACAGCGGTTATGGAGCACAGTGTGGAGATCCCTAAAAATTTAAAAACAGGGCTGGTGGAGTGTCGAGTGTAGAGCACCTGTCTAGCAAGTGTTGAGGCCCTGAGTTCAAACTCCCGTATAGCCAAACAAAAAAAAAAAGTATCTTCATCACAGCAACTATTCACAAATGGAACCACCCAATTGTCCATTAAACTAATGAATGGATAAAGAACGCCAGTATGAATGCACAATGAGGTACCACTGAGCTATAAGAAAGAATGAAAGTCTTGCCATTTGGAAGACGCAGATAAACCTAGAGTTATTATGTTACGTGAAATTAGCCAGGCACAGAAAGCCAAGGCCACATGAGCTCACTCATATGTGGAGTATAAAAATAGTTCCCAGGATTCCAGGAATCTGGGGGAGGGAGGAAATGGATGATGAGTGGTTGAATTCAACTATGATTACATTGTAGCCACTTTGTAAATGTCACAATGTACCCCCACTACAACAATTAAAAAAAAAGATGAAAATTTTGAAAAAAAAGTTGATTCTGCAAAAAACAATTGATAAAAGAAGAAAAAAAGGTTGATATCACTGGCCAGTAATCCTAGCTACTCAGCAGACAGAGATAAGGAGGACCACAGTTCCAAGCCAGCCCAATCAATAGTTTGAAAGACCCTAAAAAAGAAAAAAAAAAAGAGAGAGAGAAGAAAGAGAAAAGGAAAAGAGAGAGAGAGAGAGAGAGAAAGAGACCTATCTTGAAATACCCATCACAAAAACAGCTGGTGGGTTGGCTTCATTGAAGGCCCTGAGTTCAAACCTCAATACCACAAAACAAAACAATGTTACCTTAGATGCATTCAGGCTGGTGGCTGTAGACAGAAGTCAGGCCTATAGAATGATTGGTCACCAGGATCGAAGGAGAACTGCTTAAAAAATACAGAATGAGGGGGCTGGAGTGTGGCTCAAGTACAGTGCTGGCCTCGAAAGCACGAGACCTGAGCCCTGAGTTCAAGCTCAATCCACCCTCCCCTCATGGCCTTCTGCAAACTAGGCAAGATCTGACCACTGGGCTTCAAACTCAGTCCAAGAGACTGCTTTTAATTTTTTTTTTTTTGGACTGGGTTTCACTGCTTAATTGTCCATGATCCCTGCCTCCCCCAACACCACACCTCAAAAGAGCTTCTGGGTGCTAGGATTTCAGGTGTATGCCACTATGTGTGCAGATTGGTGGATTTTTTTTTTTTTTTTTTGCAGTGCTGGGGTTTGAACTCAGGGCCTTCACCTTGAGTCACTCCCAGCCCTTTTTTTGTGATTTTTTTTTTTTGGAATAGTCTGGAGAACTATTTGCCAGGTGGCTTTCAACCACAATCCCCTGTCTCTGGCCTCCCTGAGTTGCTCGGATTGCAGGTGTGAGCCATGGCGGCCGGGCAGGATTGCTTTATAAGTAGGTCAGAGAGGGCTTTCACTGATAAAGTGACCTCTGAGCAGAGACCTGAAGAAGTGGGAGATGAGTCAGGATGGGTCAGGTTGTTCCTGGGGCGGGTGGGGGGGGAGCGGAGAGGAGCGCATCCTCTCTCTCTCTCACATCGAATGTTGTCCCAGCTCCCTGCATAAGGTTCCCAGGACTGTGAATCCCTCCAGAACTCTGGAAGGGGGCTCCACTTCTGCAAATACAGGAGTGATAAACACAGTGCGTGTCGGGGAGGACCTGGGAGCACAGATACTTTCTTGGAGGTGGGGTGGGCGGAACAGAACAGGGACAGTAGGGTGACCTCCAGTTCCCTCTAGCGTGTCCTCCTGATAGACAGGCATAATCTCAGAGTTCGGACGGACGTGGAGGCTGCCAAATCCCCCAAGCAACTCCTGCCTGGGCCGCCTTCCACCGGACCAGACTAAACAGCGCTGCTCTGGGTGGCCAAGCCCGCCGGCTTAGCCCTGCAGCCTCCTTTCGGCCCGCAGATAGGAACGCACGAAGGCTTTCGGCCCGCGGACTGGAACGCACGAAGGCTTTCGGCCGCGGAAGGAACGCACGAAGAATGTTGCCCGATGACGGAAATGAACGAAGGCTTTCGGCCCCGCGGACGAGACCGCACGAAGACTTCGGCCCGCTGAAGGAACGCACGAAGAATGTTGGCCCGAGGACGGAAAATGAACGAAGCTTTCGGCCGAGACGCGAACGCGCGAAGGCTTTTGGCCCACGTTGGCCGCCGTAGCGAGGGGGAGGGGCCCGGAAGCGAGCGGGATGGCGGCGTTGGCAGTGACAGCGAAGAGGACTTGGTCAGCTATGGGACGGGCCTGGAGCCTCTGGAAGAAGGTGAGGATTTCTGGAGAAATCATCTCGGAGGTCCATGATTCTGGGCGCGAACGCACAAGTTGGGGCTGGCGCTGGAGCACCACAAGGGAGGCGCGCCCTGCGCTGTCCCGCGCTCAGGTCTGGGGACAGCAACCCGAGGATGGGAGGTGCCCAGATGGCCCGGGTGAGGGGAATGGTCAGGCATTGTGCTGAAATCGAGGACGAAGGCAGCTGTGGGAAGTCGACGTCAGAGGGCAGGCAGGGTTGGATTTTTTTTTTTTTTTTTTTTTTAGAAAGGAGCTGGCTAAGTAGCCAGGCTGGCTTCGAACTAGCGATCCTCCTGCCTCAGCCTGCCGAGATCTGGGATTACAGAGGTGAACCACCATGCCTGGCTGAGAATGGATCTCATACTAAGAAAGCAGAGTCATTGGGGGAGGGTGTTACAGGAGGGGTATATGTATCTACATTTATGATAAATGTATATTATATATTTTTTTTTTTTGGTGGGACTGGGGTTTCTTTTTTTTTTTTTTTTTTTTGGCAGCACTGGGGTTGAACTCAGGGCCTCACACCTGCTAGGCAGGCACTCTTACTGCTTGAGCCATTCTTCGTCCAGCAGGGACTGGGTTTGAACTCAGGGCTTCACTCTTGAAAAGTAGGCGCTCTACCTCTGAGCCACACTTCCAGTCCATTTTGCTCTGGTTATTTTGGAGTTGGGGATCTTGATAACTATTTGCTCAGGTCTGGCCTAGAACCTTTCCTCCTGATCTCAACCTCCAAAGTAGCTAGGATTACAGGTGCAAGCTACCAGCACCCAGCAGATGTGTATTTTAGTATTTCTCTCGCTTCAGTTTTGAGTATGGTCTGGTTGGGAGATTAGCCAAAACTGGTCAGAGGATGATGGCTTGGAGAGTTAGCTGTGGTGTAAGGACTGGTCTGGGTGGGGTATACTTGTATTTCTTTTTTGGTAGTCCTGGGATTTGGACTCAGGGCCTTAGCTTGCTAAGCAGGCGCTCTACCGCCAGCCCAAAATAGGGTCTACTTAGAAAGCAGAGCTGACCAGACTTGTGTGGAATGTGGGAGCAAAGGCAAGATGGGCAAAAGCGTTCTCGTTCCACTTAATGACTTGATTTGTCCAGCAAAGTATGTTTTGGTGTTTGACAAGGGTTGATGGGAAAGACAGAAGCATGGGGGAGTCCTTGGCCAGAAGTGGTTTGCTTACCTCCTGTGGTAAGAATTTCTTCCCTCTTCCCTCCCTGACTTCCTGCCAGTTGGTTGTACTTTTGGGCTCTTTCCACTGACACTCCTTTATTCCCAGGTGCTCCTTACTGATTTAAAGAAGTCCTTGGGTTCCCTCTAAGACTTTTGTTTCACCATCCCCAGTGCTGCAATAAACTCATTTGAAAGTTCTTCCGCCCAGGATTGTCAGAGCTTCTTCTCCAGGTGGCCCAGACTGTGGGTAGGACAGAGCTATTGCTGATATGATCTCATTCTAGATCATTCCTTTAGGATGGCTAAGATCATGTTAGTTTTATTGGCAAGCATATCACCCTATGAGCTCAAAGAGTTTAGTAAAGATCCTTAATTTGAGTTAAATCTACTAGAGATAAAAATGCCAAGGTTTGCAGGAGCCCCTCCACAGGGCTCCTGTCTGAACAATAAACCCTGTGCTGGTATTTAAAAAAAAATGCCAAGGTTTGATGGTGCTGAAATATGTGGTGTGGGCAGGAAATGCCCTATATAAGCTGAGGAGGTGAGAGGGATCCTGTGGAGACTGGTTAAAATTCATTCCACTTGCATGAATGGGTCACTACACCCATGTCAAGTGTCTCTTTATGTTGTCTCTGTTTCTGCTCTCACAGTTGTTTCCTTGTGAAGTGGTATGTTATCAAGTCATCAACTACTTGACCGATATTTTTCTAATTCTTCCTGTTTTGATGGTACACAAAAAAGTCTGAAATAAAGCATCCTGGTCTAACACTCCCTCGCCCAATTGAACCCATGGCCTCATGTATGCTAGGCAGGCGCTCTACCACTTTGTCACACTCCCAACCCTTTAGTTTGGTGTTGTGTGTGTGTGTTTCTTTCTTTCTTTGTTTTTTTTTGGCAGTGGGAGGGCAGTACTGGGGCTTGAATCAGGGCCTCATGCTGCTAGGCAGGCGCTCTACCACTTGAGCCACTCTGTCACCTTTTTGCTCTGGTCATTGTGGAGATAAGAGTCTGTCTCCTTGCAGGCCAGCCTGGACCATGGGCCTCCATTTTATGATGACTTGTGCATGCCACCATGCCCAGTTATGGTTGAGATGGGGATCTCATAAACTGTTCACTCAGGCTGGCCCTGAACTCACCAGCCTCCTGCTGTGTCTTCCAAGTAGCTGAGATTACAGGTATACACCACACACCTGACTCTAACCTTTCTTTTGAAGGGAGGAAAAGACATTTCATTTGTAGACTTTCATTTATTTATTTATTTCTTCTGGCCTAGAAACATCTTTTAACTGCTCAGTATTAGGATTTTTTTTTTTAAATATTCAAGACAGGGTTTGCTGTATAGCCCAGGCTGGCGTTGAATTGAGCATCCTCCTGCCTCACCATGGCTGGGATTAAAGGCATGTGGCCATGACAAGCTTGAGGTTTTTGACGATTGATTCATTGACTTCCTTCTCCCTTCCTCCTTCCTCCCTTCCTCCCTCCCTCCTTCCTTCCTCCTCCTTCCTTCCCTCCTCCCTTCCTTCCCTCCTCCCTTCCTTCCCTGCTTCCCTCCTCCCTTCCTTCTCTCCCTCCCTTCCTCCTTCTTTCCCTCTTTCCCTTCCTCCCTTCCTTATTCCTTCCCTCCTTCCCTTCCTTCCTTCCTTCCCTCCTCCTTCCTTCCTTCTTTCTTCCTTCCTCTCTCCCTCTCCCCTCCCCCCTTTCCCTTCCTCCTTCCTTCCTTCCTTCCATTTATTTTTGTCCTGGATTGAATATAGGGCCTTCCTTTCCAGGGATCTAAGCCCCCAAATCTTGCTTCATTTTTTTCTAAGCACTTCAGAGTTTACATTCACTCTGACTACAGTTTCCAGGATAACATACTTGATCAATAATTACCTTTACTCCTGCTTTGGAGTTTTAGTGACAGGGTAGACAACACTGGCAGAGGAGACACTTCTCTACCTTAATTAAACCTTACCTAAGCTCCTACAGAAGGGCTTATTGGAGCTCAGTGACTGACAGTGATGGGAAGGAAGAGGCCCCAGTACTTACCTACCTAGTCTTTTCTAGACACCTGTGCTTGGTTCTAGAATTTGCACCTGCATCTCACCCTGTACACATTACTTTTAGGGCCACTTCCTCCCTGACACTGTGACTCTTACACTTGAAACCACCCATGGCTTCCATCAGGCACAGAGCCTCGCAGAGACCTCAGCACTGCCCACCTTCCGGTCCACCTTCCACTTTCCCCACTCCCATCCAACACCTGTGCTATTTCTCAGTGCACCTGGAATTGCTTCTTGGTTGGCGGTGTTGGGGACTGAATCCGAATCCAGGGTCTGGTGCATGTTACGCACGTGCTGTACCACTGAGCTACACCTCCAGGCCTGCACTGCTTTTTTATACCCTGCTTGCTGATGGGAGTTAACGTGTCTGTTGGAAGTCAGTCTTTATCCACAGCTATGGAAGTTCTACTCCTTCCTGGGGGTGTCTGAGTTGTGGTCCTTCACATTGTCAGAAGCATGGGCCTTCCATGCAGGCCTCCTGCTGTACCAGGGTCTAGACCCAGGGCTCCAGGGCAGTCCAAGTGGGTGCCACACCTGGCCTGGAGATGGAGTTGAGATGCGGTTCATCTTTGCGCTTATTAAATGTGGACCTCAGGGCAGGTGCTTAATAAGTGTCCTGGGCAGGGTATGATATGCAATCTTACCTATCATACCCTGATAAGATAGGAATTATTATTAGCGGCAGTAATTACTGGCTAGAATGGTCTCCTCCTCCCTGGAGTTTTCCCAGCCCTGTGGTTGAAATGGCGCCTCTCCTGGGGAGCCCCAAGGGCCTGGCTGGCCACACTGGTTGACCCTCGTTGTCACTGCCACCTTCCCACAGTTGTCTGCAGGCCTTGTATCTCCTTCCAGCTCTGGTGCACTGGCAGGGCCAGCCTGCTCTCACTCTAGCCTCTGTGTGGATAATGGACAGTGTCTGCTGACATCTTTGGTTATCAGATGTGTGGGAGAAGTGCAGGGATGGGGGTGGGGAACACTCCTACAGCATCTAGGCCAGCGATGCTGCTGCACGTCGTCCGGCCTACAGAGACATCGCACAACGGACCCTCGAGAACTCTGCCTCAGCCAGCAGGCCTGCAGGCACTCAGGAGTGGGTACTGCATTTCTAAGAAATGGTGGAAATCAGGGTTAGAGACCCAGGTTGTAACTCAGTCTCTTATTTGCTGCACTGGGGTTTGAACTTGGGGGCTCACACTTGCTAGACAGGTGCTCTACTGCTTTAGTCACTCTGCCAAACTTTGTGTGTGTGTGTGTTGGGTATTTTTGAGGTATGATCTTGCTTTTGTTGTCCTGGCTGGCCTCAAACTATGATCCTCCTGATCTCTGCCTCCCAAGTAGCTAGGATTACAGGTGTAAGCCACTGGTGCCGGCAGCAATTCAGTTCTTTAAAGTAAAAAAGACATTGTGGGTGGTGTTAACTGAGTGTTGCTACAGCCAGCCACCATGCTGAACTGTCTACAGTGGCATTTAATTATCGTTACTACCGTACATAGATGTGCTCCCTTTTTACCCTAATCTTACAGCTCTGGAGGTTTAGCCTTAGAGAGAGAAGTTTTCCCAGGATCACAAAAATAACAAGTAGTAGAGTGGGAGGACTTGAACTTGATCTCCTGGTCTTCAGAAATAGCTCTTGAGTGCCCTGCTGTGGGTCACATTCCAGGAATGACCTAAAGACTTCAGTCCTTGTAGTTAGGACTTGGAAGTGGGATGCTCTTTTACTTTGTGTCAGGAGCTGGCTTAATTATTGAGGTCGCAGGTGTATTTGGACTTTTGAACACATCCAAAAGTGTGTTCACAGCAGCTAGTACTGTTTTTTTTTTTTGGGTAGTACTGGGATTTGAACTCAGGGCCTTGGAGGTGCTGTACCACTTGAGCCACTCCACCAGTTGACTTTTTTTTTTTGTACTGGATTTTTTTGTTTTGTTTTCTGGTGGGACTAGGGTTTGAACTTAGGCTTTGCACTTTTTTTTTCACATCTCTCATAAATACATATTTTTATTTATTTTTTATTATTTATTTATTTATAATTTTATTATCATATTATTGTTGTACTGGGGGTACTGAAATCTTTTTTTTTTATTGTTTTATTATTCATATGTGCATGCAAGGCTTGGGTTATTTCTCCCCCCTGCCCCTACCCAGGGCTTTGCACTTGCAAAGCAGATGTACCACACCTCTAGTCCATGTTTGCTCTGGTTATTTTGGAGCTGGAGTCCCATGAAACTATTTGCCCAGGCTGGCTTTGAACCGTTTCTCCTGATCTCAGCCTCCCAAGTAGCACTGGCTTGGTTTTATACTGGAGTTTTGAACTCAGGGCCTTGGACTTGCTAGGCAGGCTGTTTACTACTTGAGCCTCTCACAGGCCTCAGCTAGCACTATTCTTTGTGCCCCCTGTTTGTTTTTTGGTATTATTGGGGATTGAACTCTCTAGGTAAATGCTATACCACTTGAACCACGCCCTAGCTTGCTTTAGTTTTTTTTTTTTTTTTCGGTACTGGGGATAGAACCCATGCTAGACAGATGCTTACTCCAGCCCCTTTCATTTGTTTTGATAAGCCTCACACTTTTGCCCAGTCCAGCCTCAGATGGGTCTCTGTCTCTGCCTCCCAAGGACTAGGATCACAGGTGTGAGTCATCATGCTAGGCTTGTTTTCTTGAGATATGGTCTCTCTAACTTTGCCAGTCTGCCTGAACTGTGATCCTCCTATTCTCCACCTCTGAGTGGCTGGAATTACAGGTGTGCACAACCATGCCTGACCTGTGTCTCTTCTTGCTAAGCACTTAACGGCATATTTAATTTGCATGATGACTCCAATAGCTTACTATTAATGTTATAAATGAGGAAACTGAAGCACAGTGAGATTAAGTTGAGCGAAGTCCAGCTTAATCCAAGTAAAGGGAGTTATCCTTAAAGTACAGAGCACTGTTTTGACCCTCAGCCTGATGCTGGTAATTAACTGCTGAAACTGCTTTCTGTTCTGAAACCATTGAAATGAGCTTGCTTTTTTTCACTCTAAATAAATTCAGAAATTTGAATGGAATTTGTAAAATTAGGGCAGGAATTTGTGTGCCATACCTGAAACTTTAAGCTCAGATTTTCTTTTTTTTGCAGTACTGGGGTTGAACTCAGGGCCTCACACTTGCTAGGTAGCATTCTAGTACTTGAGCCACTCACCAGCCACTCTTTTTTTGTGTTGAGTATTTGAGATAGGGTCCAAGAACTATTTTTCCAGGCTGGCTTTGACCGTGATCCTCTGAGCTCTGAGTAGGCTTCAGGATTTACAGGTGTTTGAGCCACAGCACTGGCAAACCTCAGAGTTTTTGGCTAAACTGAAAAGTGATGTAACACCCGCCTTTTTCAACATGGTAGCGAAAAGGACTAAGTGTTAAAGAACCACCAAGTATGGAGTGTGACAGAAGTTAAGGACTCCTAAGTTTAGAAGAATGGGTTACTCATATATAGGCGTATATTGTTGGGATGAGTCTACAAGCTGCCCAGAAGGTTTCTCAGGCGCTGGAGTTGGTCAGCTTAGTGTAGAGCACATGCATAGAATTGGGCACAGGTCCTGTATGCAGAATTCTAGTGCTTCCCGGGACCCCCCCCAAAAAAATCATTAGTCACTGCTTTCCAGGGCCAATGCAGCACCCTGACTCCCTCTCTTTCCAAAGACTCCATGACACGTATGTGAACCTTCTCCCCAGTATTGTTATATATATCCCTTTTGCTTTTTTTTGTGTGGGGTGGGCTCGGGGTTGAACTTGGTCTTCATGCTTGCTTAGGCAGGCAGCTCTACCCACTTGAGCCACGCAGCCAAGCCCGTTCTTTTGCTTTTTTGTTAATGGAATTTAAGGAGGAAACTAGGACATTTTTGCTTACAACGTTTTCTAACATAAGTTGTAAAATATCATTGTTTCATAAACTATTTCAACCAGTAAAGTCTAGAAAGAGCAGCTTATTAATTGGTTAGAACTGACAGTTACAAGACTGTGAACAGTTTAATTGTGATAAAGGCATACATTTTCTCTAAACTCTTTCTAACTTCATTAATCCCCCTCTCTCTTTTTTATGGTGAAAACATTTTTTTTTTTTCAGGTGAGGCCAAAGAAACCATCTCTTCAGGAATAAACCGTCAGAGATGAAAAGCAGATATAGCGATTCCATGGAGCCTTCAGTTGGCGTTTCTTGCTGGGTTACTTCAATCCGTCGGCTCAAAGGAAAGGTAGGACGTTCCCCACTGGACAGCTGTTATGACTCACTAAAGCAAAAGTGATGGCCATGGTAAGATTCACCCCTCCCAGCTTTTTAAAAAAACTTACTAATGTGCTGTTGGTCTTTTTGTGTCCTTTGAAGCTTGAAAGTTTCCAGAGTTAATGTAAACATTGTCATTGATTGCAACCTGTGGGGGAAAGTTTTCTTGCAAGAAAAGTTTGGTAAAAACAATGGATACATCTAACCAGGTGATGAATCCATGACACTGACTTCCATTTCATATTGTGCCTTGTCATGCACAAAGTGCCCTCCCACAGATTCATTCAGCTAATCACTGACTGCCCCACACAACTTAGGGAGCGAAGAAGGACAGTGTCACAGGTGTTCTGCAGATGAAGCCACCAAGGGTGAGAGAGGTTAAGGAGCCAGCTAGAGTCAGAGCTGCCTGGGGAGCCAACAGCTGCTCTCTCCTGACACTGGGGACTATGGCTGACTGCTCTTGAGAAAAAACAATTAAATTGTCACATTACACAGACAACAGATTCCATGTTGTTCACAGAAATATTTGTGGGTTTCTTTTCTGTCTTGTTTTGTGCTGGGTTTTGAACCCAGATCCTCCTGCATGCTCAGCAGGCACCCTACACTGAGCTACACACAGCCATGTTTCTTTTTTCTATTTCTCCTTAGTGGACTGAGTTTGAATTCAGGGGCTTTGCACCCAAGCAGGCACCGCTGCTTGAGTCACACCTCCAGTCCATTTGCTCTGTTTTAGTTTGGAGGGTGGGGTCTGTGAACTATTTGCCCAGGCTGGGCTTGAACTGATCTCAGCCTCCCAGGTGGTTGGGATCACAGGCGGATGTGTTCATATGTGAGTGCAGGTAGCTGGCCTCATATTGTCCTGCCTTTATTTCTTGATTTTTTTGTTATTGTTACGATTTTTTTTTTTAATGACACTGGGGTTTGAACTCAGAGCCTCACGCTTGGTAGGCAGCAGGAGCTCTTACTTGCTGGCACTCTGCCAGCCCTGTTTCTTTTTTATTTATTTTGAGATAGTGTTCCTCATGTTAGCCCAGGTTGTCTCAAACTTTCTGTCCTCCTGCATTGGCCTCCTGAGTGGGTGGAGTTACAGGTGTGCACCACCATGCTCAAAGGACAACCTTGCTGCTTTCTGCTTACGTCTATTTGTGTTCTTTCATGGTTTGCTTGTTGTTTGTCTGTCGAGATAGATGTGTTGCCTAGGCTGCTTGAACTCCAGGGCTCAGGTGACCCTCCTGCCTTAATGTCCTGAGTAGCTGGGATTACAGGTGGCACAGCCATGCTTGGCATCTTTCACAATTTAACTTTCAAGGTAGTTTATTTGTCTTGGTTCCAGTTCCTACGGGAACCTTGGCATATCTGCTAAGTTGTGATGAACGGGCTGTAGGGACTGATGAGAAGTCTGGTGGAGCAATCATGACTGGATCTGCACCATGATGAGCGGTAGCCAAGAGTCTGTGTTACGGGAGCCTCAACTCCCTACTCATTACTTTAATATTTAGTTTATAAACCAAATGTTCTCCAGGACTGTAAAGTTTTGAACTCTCTTCTTTCTAGGATGACACCCTCCACTTTGTTGTCTTCACGACAGAGCGGGCAGACAAATCTGTTCTTGGTCCTGAGGATTTCATGGATGAGGAGGTGGGTGTGTGAAACTCCAGTGACAGGTGGTGGGGCTGTGTGGTGCTTGTAGCACGGAAAGCCGGCGTGGATTGCCTTTCGTTTCTGAGCTTTTTCTTTCAGGTGTCCATGAGTGGATGGATTCCCCTCATCAGCAGTACTTGTAGGGTCAGGAGCACAAGGGAAGATTGACTTGAAAGCCCAGGTGTCCCCAATAGTACAGTTCTGTGAGTGGAGCCTGCACTTGACGGGACAGGGAGCTGCTGGAGGGAAAAGTAAACCTTGAAACCCAGGCAGGACTCATCCGTGAGGAAGATTAGCGCTTGCTGTGGGCTGTAGGGAAGTTGAAAGAGAGGCCTCTTTCCTATTTTTTTTTTTTTTTTTTTTTGGTGGTACTGGGCTTGAACTCAGGGCCTACACCTGAACCAGACCTTTTTGTGATGGGTATTTTTTTTTCAGTGCTGAGGTTTGAACTCAGTTCCTACGTTTTCCTATTTGCTGGGCTGGCTTCAAACCTTGATCCTCCTGATCTCTGCCTCCTGAGTATCTGGGATTACAGGCGTGAGCCACAACTGCCCGGCTAGTTGACTTTGTGTTGTCCTTTTTTTTTTAAGGTGGTACTGGAGTTTGAACTCAGGGTTTTATGCTTGCTAAGCAGGTACTCTACCACTTGAGCCTCTGCACTAGCCCTCCTATTTTAAAAGATGGGATCTGATTATGCAGCCTGCATGGCCTTGAACTCGACTGCTGGATTATAGGCCTGTCACCACCATGCCTGGCTTCTTTTTTTTTTTTTTTTTTTTTTTTTGGAGCAGTGTAATCTGTAGGAAACAGATCTCTGTTTTGGAGCAGAACTCTAGATGCAGCAGGGTCTCGGATGCTCACTTGTCATTTGTCTTCTACATGTCACCTTGTCCTTATACCACCTCTCCTTGAAGTTGCAAGATGGTTGCAGTTGTTCCAGCTGGCACATCCAGTGTGACATTATCCAGTAGAAGGAGAACTTTCTCTTGGTTTCTTTTTCTGAGAGCAAAAACCCCTTTCACATAAGTCCTACAGTGTATCAGAGGCGGTGTTGCTTGAGCAAGTTGTTTTACATACCCACTCCTAGAGCAGACCCTGGCAAAGGGGATGACACCAAAGTGACTGGCTTCGCTAAGAGGTGAACCCCTGTCTGCTCACCCTGCCCCAACCCTGGACCTGACTTGTGGCCTGGCACGTGGCACTCACAAGTGCCCACTGGCTGTGAGTCTAAGCTTTGTCCTCTTCACACTCACCTCTGAAATACTGTCCAGAAGAACTAGGCCCTGGCTTCCTGTCCTTGATTGGTTAGAGGCTGTTGTGGCTTCACTGAGCGGCCACTTGAAGCTGTGTCCTCGGTCACAGCCGTCACTGTATGTCAGGATGAAGATGAGGTGTGCAGGTCCATCTGTGAAGTCTGTCACTCTGCTGATCTTGAGCTAAATTTTGTAGTTTTATGGTTTTATTTATTTATTTATTTTTAAGAATAAAGCTATGTGTGTATCATACTTAATCACTCTCCAAATAATGTAATCTTGTTTGTTTGTTTTTTGGAAGGATCTCAGTGAATTTGGGATAGCACCCAAAGCGATTGTTACCACAGATGACTTTGCTTCCAAAACCAAGGACAGAATACGAGAAAAGGCCCGGCAGTGGTGCTGCGACGGCCCCTATCCTGGAGCTACTCTGCTCGATGACTTTATAACGCCAGCAAAGTGAGAAGAATTCTCCCCTGTTCTGCTCTTGCATCAGTGCTCTGCCTGCAGCATCATGACATCTCACTTAAGGGTAGTTTGGTTGAGGCTAAGTGAAGCCTTGGTAAACTGGATAGAGTTAAGAGAGGGTTTTCTGGTGGTGGAGTGCACAAGTGGTAGAGCACCTGCCTAGCAAATACAAAGCCCTGAGTTCAAACTCCAGTACTGTCAAAAAAAAGAGGGGATCTTGCCTAATGGTCATGCATTATTGCTGCATAGGGGGCTCTAGTACCCCAACCATTGGCCAGCTGCTGGGGTTCCAGAGCCTGAAGGGCTATTAGGAAGTGGATGACTCCCCTCCCACCTCCCTCACAGGTCTTGTGGGCCCTCCCCTGTCCACTCATTCTACCCTTTCTTCTTGCCTCCTTATTTTGTTCCTGGGCTCATGAGCTCTGGCTCAGACCTTCCTGTTTCCCTCGCCCCATGTTTGACAGGCAGTAGTCAGATTCCTACGTACCCATTCCCAGGGCCTGGGGGAGCGCACGTCTGAGACCGTTCAGCTCAGTAGTGCCTGAAGCCCAGACCCCTGTAGGGTCACGGTGCTATAACATGGAAGAGGATGAGCACAGGCAAGGCAGGCACAGGAGCTGGGCTGGAGCTCAGAAATGGCTGGTTTCCTGCTGTTGCTGATGTTGGAAATATCAGTTTCAATGCCTTCGTGTCTAGGTTGTCTGTGGGCTTTGAATTGCTAAGAAAAATGGGCTGGAAGGAAGGGCAAGGAGTTGGTCCTCGGGTGAAGAGAAGGCCACGCCGGCAGAAACCTGTATGTCAGTTTCTTTCTTTTTTTTTTTTTTTTTGTGTGGTAATGGGACTTGAACTCAGGGCCTCACACTTGCTAGTCAGTCCCCCTGGTGTGTCTACTGATGTCATTAGTTCACAGCATGCTGTTTCTTTGGTTTTTAAGAACATTGCTTACTGTGTAGTCTAGGCTGACTTGCAGCTTGCTGTGTAGCCCAGGCCGGTCTTAAGCTCAGGATCCTCCTGCCTCAGCCTCCCAAGTCCTGGGATTACAGGAGTGCCCCACCATGCCTGGTTACAGCAATTCTTTTGATGGCTATGTGTTCCTACAGGCAGAGTTGCTGGGTCAAGTGATGTGTATTTTAAGGCTTTTTTTTTCTTTTTTTGGTAACGTGCAGTGACTACACCACACTCCCACTAGCCATGCGTGTTTGTTCAGGTTTTGTGACTGTGTCAAAATTGCATCACAGTTTAGTGTTATTATTTATTGTCCTTTCTCCTGAACTCATGGAGGGCAGTGTGACTTCCTCTGAGTTCTCTGTGGCACTGGGGCAGCAGAGGTTACTCACTGAATAAATGGTTACATTCTGCTTAGAATCGTTTCTGGAGCCTTGCCAGCGTGGGTGGAGCAGGGCTGGGTACAGCAATCCCCTGGTGACCCACTGCTGACCCTAGAACAGCAGCACCTTTACAGGTGTGCCATGTGCCTCTGCAGAGTGTCAGCGAGTCCAGTCACTCGTGACTAATGCCTTTGACACCTCTTTTATAGATCCTGGAGTGAAAATCTATGGCTGTGCATTGCCTCCTGGAGGCTCTGAAGGATCTGAGGTATCACTTCAGTAGGACCCGTTGTGTTGATCATGAAATTTTAGGGTCATGATCAGTTTTAGAAATCTGATCTCATTGCTGTGAAATATCCATACCCTAAAACTTACACCAGACAACCTGCTCAGCAATGTGCCAGCACCCTAGATCCATGTCTATATGGATATGTTGGTGCTGGGGACTGAACCCAGGGCCTCGTGCATGCTAAGTAAGTGCTCTGCCACTGGCGACACCCCAGCCTGTTCATACTCTCAAACAGAACCTGTTTGCGTTGGTCTCCTTGGATGTCATCAGATATCGGTAGCCGCGTCAGGGCAAGCTGGGTAATTGTGTTTGGGATTAATCACGGTATTTTAAGAGTGTGTCATATGTCACTCACCTTAATCCCACTTAACACATCGGAAACAGGATGAAGACGATGACTACTTGCCTGATAATGTGACCTTTGCACCTAAAGACGATCACGCCTGTGGATTTTCACCAAAGATAACGTGCACGGACTGGCTTACCAGGGTCTGGACCCCCACCAAGCACTGTTCGACCTCGAGGGACACTTAATCTTTTTGGTGGAGTCGCCCATGTGCCGGCAATCTTCTTGAAGACGTTGGACTGAATAAAGGAAGGAAGTTGGGAATTTCAGGCCAGGTAAAAGTGCTTCTGTTTGTAAAGTTGGGACCACTGACAAATAAGCGTATGTTTTTTTTGTGATATTGGAGTTTGAACTCAGGATCTCACACTTATTAGGTAGGCTCTCTACCATTTGAGCCATTGCACCAGCCCTTTTTTGTGTATTTTCAAGATAGGTTCTTGTGAACTGTTTGCCTGGTCTGTCTTCGAACCTTGATCCTCTTGATCTCTGCTTCCTGGCTAGCTAGGATTACAGGTGTGAGCCACGAACCTGACAAGTGCACTTTGCCGTGTTAGGTCTGCCCATACTAGGTGCCCATTATTCACTGAATATAGGAAGACTTTGACGTGGTTATACTTTCTGTGGGATCACTCCTGGAGACTTGTAAAAACACCATCCTGATTTTAATAATGAGCTTGGTGGGAGTTCGTGTGTTCCCATGGCCGCTTTCTGACCTGTGGGGCCAAGCCCAAACCATTCTTCCTTTGCTTTGGGAGGTGTGATCGCCATCTGTCGCTCCAAGTTCAGGTCCAAGTTTCACCACTTCCAAGGTCATTTCCTAGTGCTGTGTTCCCACTTGGGAACACACGGGGAAGCTTTTTATTTTTTTAAATTATGTTGCTCTTTTTTTTTTTTTTTCTTTTTTCCTTTGGCGGTACTTGGGTTTAAACTCAGGGCCTCCTGCTTGTTACACAGGTATTCTACCACTTGAGGCACACCTCCAAGCCCCACACTGGATATCTTTATTTGGGAGATTGCTTTTTAGTTTTGAAAGATGGCATGCTTTTATTTAATTTATTTTTTAAGTATTATTTAAAATTCGAGTTCAGTCCATAAGTTGTACACATAAATCCATTTCATCCAAAGGGAAATGTCAGTGCTTCTAGCAGTGTAAGAACTGTTGGTGGGGCCTATCCAAAGGTTTCCTCTGGAGTACAGAAAATGTAAATGCAGCTCAGCCGCAGACTGGATGTTTTTATCCTCTAGGCCTTAAGAGGTTGTCAGAATCCCTGTGAGTCTTAGAAATGCATGAAGTATCAGTCACAGCAGGAAGACACTGAGCTGACTTCCAGTATCCAGCACATTGTCACGCACTGAAATTTATACGGAGGATGCCAGGCGGTGGGGACCGCAGGTGGGGAGGCCTCTCCTGAGTAATGCGAGCGTCCGTAGGCAGGAGGAGCCGGTGTCCCAGGGCAGCCTCACCGTGGGTTCAGGCCCAAGTCCAGAGCACCGTGCACAGACTCAGTGACGGGACACTGGTGCAGGAGGTGGTGTCAGGTGCAAGTGCAAGGGTAACAGTAAACCAGAGCTGAGGACTTGACCTCTCCTACTTCCTTCAGTTCATTAAAGTGATTTGCCACATCCGCCTGCTTCCTTTCTCATGGGGAATACGGGTAGGAGGTGATACAAAGGTCTTGGACCTAGCAAATATCACTCCCTTCCACCTCCCCGTTCCCAAATAAATGAGGTTAAACCTTGAATTTTGAAAGTATTTTTATTTATTTATTTATTTATCTTTGGTGGCCTCATGGTTGCTAGGCAGGTGCTCTACCACTTAAGCCACTCCCCCAGACCTTTTTTTTGTGATGGGTTTTTTCAGATAGGGTCTCTTGAACTATTTGCCTGGATTGGCTTAGAACCAGGATCCTCCTGATCTCTGCCTCCTGAGTAGCTGGGATTACAGCCATGAGCCATCAGCACATGGCTGAAAGTATTTATTATTATTATTTTTTTTTTTTTTTGGTGTGTGCTGGGCTTGAACTCAAGACCTTTACCTTGAGTCACGCTGCCAGCCCTTTTTTTGTGGTGGGTTTTTTTGAGTTAGGGTCTCATGAACTATTTGCCTGGGCTGGTTTCAAACCTTGATCCTGTCTCTGGCTCCTGAGTAGCTAGGATTGCGGGTGTGAGCCACCACACCTGGCTGAAAGTATTTTTTGTAAATGAAAAAGTAATGCATTTTTCTATCAGCATCCTTGTCAGCATGATTCTGAATTGCTCTCCAGTGTACCTTTTCCTTTGTAAATAAACACTTCATACTATTTGAAGCACATAAGAAGTTTCATTTTGTTCAGTGTTCTTTACTTTTCATTGTGAAGTATTATTTCCGAGGAATTGGAACCCCAGAAGGTAACACTCACCAAAAAAGTTGAATATTTTAGAAAAAATGACACAAAACTGGAATTGAAGAGAAGGTAACATTTGGGAGATCAAAGGCAACAAATCAGCCTCTGAAGGGAACTGCGGTAATTATTACCTGAAAGCAGAGTTGTGAAACATTCAAGGCCAGAAGATAAGGCGCTGTAATACCAGAATGACTGAGCAGTTAGGTGGGGGAAAAGCCAGGTGAAGCAGGAAAGAGAAGTGGACTTACAAGTCATTTGGACTGGGCCAGTGATCGTCATTCCCTGATGCTCCTGGCATCTGAACAGAGTCACATTGCTTCTTTCCTTCCTTTACCTTCACTGACATCTCGTACCGCTCGCTAAGTTATGACCACCGTTTTGTCAGGACTCAGAGTTTCAGCCCAGCAGCTGTCACAATCTGGAGTAAATGCCAGGCCTTCTTCCATTTATCACTGGGTTTCTTCACAAGTTTGACTCCCAGTTCTTCAAATCCCCAGCACTGAGCACATCAGGAGCGGCAATTGCAATGAAACCAGATCCCAAGGGCCTGAATTACCATTGTGTCACTCTGGGTCTCATTATCTTCAGTGTCCCAATTGTGTGGCACCTGTGCCTCACGCCTGTAATCCCAGCCACTCAGGAGGCAGAGAGCAGGAGGATGGTGGTTCAAAGCCAGCCCAGGCAAATAGTTCATAAGACTGTCAAAAAGCTCTTCATGAAACAGGGCTGGTGGAGTGGCTCAAATGGTAGAGTGTCTGCCTAGCAAGCACAAAGCCCTGAGTTCAAACCTCAGTACTGCCAAAAATAAGAAAATAAATAAAAAAGTGTAGCTGTTTTGGAGAGTACCTTTACTACTCTTGCATTTTTGTCTTTGGGGATGTCATTTTTTCCTTGTAAGCCAAGAAATAGAGCGAAATTTTCATAGTAGGAAAACCTAAGTTTAGAGTAGCATCATTCTAAGAACTCTAATAAAAATCCAGTGATAGGAGCACTCTCTTGGACCCCTCCCAGCTCTGGGATTTACCCTGCTGTTTTTCTAACTCCATAAACTGTCACACACACACACACACACACACACACACACACGTCCAGTGACTTCCTAGGATGCTTAATTTGTAGCCTGGGCTGCTGAGGTAGAAAATCCTAGGTGCTGAGGTCCACGTTGGAGCGGCAACTGAAGGTGGCCTCGTGGCTGCAGGACGCAGGCTGTGGTGCCATGGCCACCCTGCAGGACCATGGATGGCAGTACCCAGAAGCACAGCTTTTTATTAATTGCTTGTTCTCTCAAACCAATTCCCAGATTTCCCTGGGCAAATTGATTCCCTCACTGGCGGTGAGGCATTGACTTCTGGTCCTTGCTTTCCAAGAGCCGAGGAGCTGTGCTAACCCAGGGCTCCCACTTGCTTCTCTCCTGGTGGTCCTGACGCGCTGGTGTCGTCCGCTCACTTGCATCCTTACAGTGGCTCTATCTGAACCTGGCTCAGTCTGAACTTTGTCTTCTGCAGGCTTTTGGGGTAGGTGCCCTGGAAGAGGAAGATGATGACATCTATGCCACAGAAACCCTGTCCAAGTACGACACTGTTCTGAAGGATGAGGAGCCTGGCGATGGGCTGTACGGCTGGACAGCGCCCCGGCAGTACAAGAGTCAGAAAGGTAATAAATGCCAGAGGCTCTCACCAATGGGAGGACCAAGTGCCAGGGCCCAGCGAGATGGGCTTGATAGGCTCTGTGTCTCTAGTAGTGTTTACGAGTTCTTGATTATGTCCCGTCAATAATCAGTGTACATCAATCAACTACATTAATATCAGTATGTCAGCTGCATAATAGTTAGTGATAGCATGCATACTTAACCTGCCTCAGAGCGACCTTTGTGTCCCCTGCCCCACCCGAGCTCTGGAGCCTCCTTGTCTCCCACAGCCAGGGCCACAGCATCCATGGTTTTGACTGTGTGGGCTCTTCATTCTCCACTATTTTTTTTTTTAATTTTATTTTTTTGGTAGCCTGGGGTTTGAACTCAAGGCCTCACACTTGCTAGGCTTTCCCACTTGAGCCACTCCACCAGCCCTGAGTCTCCACTATTAATTTTTAAATTAATGACTTCTTTTTCAGTGTTTGATAGTGTATAATGAATACCCTTATGACTGTATCTTGATGCACATTTGCTATTTCTTCAAAATCTTCAGAAGACAGCTGGGCATGGTAGAGCACGGCTATAATCCCAGCAGTGGCGAGGCCAAGGCAGGAGGATCCCTTGAGCTCAGGAGTTCAAGACCAGCCTGAGCAACACAGGGAGACCCTCTTCTCAAAAAGAAAAGAGAATTCTTTTTTGTGTGTGTGGTGCTGTAGCTTGAACTCAGTGCCTCCACCTTGAGCCCCTCCACCAGCTCTTTTTGTGAAGGTTTTTTTGAGATAGGGTCTGGTGAACTATTTGCCCCGGCTGACTTCGAACCCCAATCCTCCTGATCTCTGCTCCTGAGTGGCTGGAATTACAGGCATGAGCCACTGGTATCCACCTAAAAAAATTCCTTAGAATAAATTCAGAAAAGTGAAACTTTTGGGTTTAAAAGAATACAAAATTTAATCCTAGAATCCTAAGAACTTGTAGGCACTGGCAGAAAAGTTTCAACCGAGTTAAAGTGCAAAGTGATCTTGTGGGGAGAGTAGTTAGGTGGTGCTGCTGCATTATCACGGCCAGAACCTGTGCTCATCAGCTCCGTGGGGAGGAGCCTGGCGTGGGCGGGGCCTTCAGGGGCGTGGCCTGTTGGGGGCTGCAGGACTGAGTCCCTGGCTAGAGCACTAGGGCTTCTATAGGAGGCGCTTTGAAACAGAACGTGCAGTTGAGTCCATTGACTTTGGCCATTACCACTCTAAGAAATCCTTGAGAGTCAGAGGACCTCTGTCCATGGGAGGGCCTCCACGACCAGAGCACAGTCCCCTGCTCCCTGTAGAGAGCGTTGCGCATTCAGTTTCCTGTTAGTGGTCTTTTATCTGCTGTCAGGATTTCCCTTGCCCTGGCTAGATTATAGGCTGACCTGATCCCTTCTGTGCTTATTTGGATGGTCGCTAAGGACATTGGTGTTCTTCATGGAGTTTGGAAGGTCTCTCACAGTTATTGTTATTTTTTCCACACTTCTCCCCTGATGGCTCTTCTTGAGACCTGCTCCACAGGCACCCTTAGGCTCAGGACCGGGGTCTTCTTCTGAAGGTGGTACAGAGGCACTTGTCTTGGAGCAGTGGCCTCCTGTCTCAACAGCTAATCAGGCCTGGCGGTTCCGGCTGGGCCCAGCCACTGTCAACAGAGGTGTGAGGGCTTCACCTGCTGTTCTGTGTTCCCCTTCCTGCACCTTTGTGTGACATTACTGTGACATGCTGTTTGTGTTCTTGGAGGCAAGATGCTCACGTCTTCTGCCTTACTCTAATTGTCTCCATTTCTGGAATTAATTGATGACATCATTTCGTAGAACCGGAGAGAGACCTTCGATACATTGGCAAAATTTTGGATGGATTTTCCTTGGCTTCTAAACCTCTCTCTTCTAAGAAAGTAAGAAAACCTTTATATGAAAAAAATTCTTTTTTACTGGTTTGGTCTTAAAATATTTGCTGCTACATAATCTGAGTTTTTATATTAATTGAAAAGATAAGGAAATTCTGTTTTCAAAAAGCAATGGCCTAGTTACTAGCAGTTGTCCAGAAAACCACTCGAGCCTAGCATGGTGGTACACAACCTATTATCCCAGCTCTGGGGAGGCTGAGCAGGAGGATTGCAAGGTTGAGGCCAGCCTGGGCTACAGAGAGGGACCTTTATTTTTAAAAAGTAGGAAAGAAAAAGACATTCTGCACTAGAAATGTTGATCAGTATCCATGTGTCAAAATCATGTTTGCTAGTCATTTAAATTCACACTTTAGGGAGAGGTTATTTCCATTAAAATAGACATACAGCCAGTGCCTGGATTACAGGCGTGAGCCACCGGCACACAGCTTGTTGTAATCACATCTTAAGGCATGCATATTAGCATTTCTGGGTAGAAGTGGGTAATGTGTGACTGTTGGAGCAGTGAGGTCTGGTGACCCTCAGGCTGGAGTGGATGCTGGTTGGACACCTGGCTAGGCCTGCTGAGCATCTGTCAGCCTGGGGAGGGTGGTGCTAACATCGCTCATAGGAGATGGGCTTTCCTGATTAAATCTAATACTATCTTGCAGCCTGTATCTTCTGAGTTTGTTCTGTTCTGTTTAAGATTTACCCACCCCCTGAGTTGCCAAGAGACTACCGGCCAGTGCATTACTTCAGACCTGTGTAGCCGCGACCTCTGAGAACTCCTGCTTACTGCAGGTGTTATCAGAGTCAGCTGGAAAGGCAGAAGAGGATGCAGGCACACACAGTAGGCACCAACTGAATGCCTCCAAGCGGGGGGAGTTGCTGGGAGAGACGCCTGTCCAAGTATGTGCTGTGGAGAGAGACTGTAACCTTTGCATTCAGACGGACTTGCCGTGTCACAGTCAAAGTGGAGAGTGGTGCTTTCCCACTGGGGTTCCGTGCTCCAAGCTGCAGGATAGTGTGTGTTGTTGGTGGTGATGTCACAGTGCACACAGCCTGTGCTTTTAAGACCCATCTTGCCATCTTTGGTTTGGGTTGGTTGTGTGCTGAAATCACAGCACTAGCCTTTGCTTGGCTGTTTTCAGGCATTTAACGCTGATGAAGGACTGTGAGCACCAGGGGTGTGATGTCTCTGCCTGGTCTGCACAGCCTGGGGAAATGGCTGTGCCACTCCCGAAAGTCTAAGAGGAGCGTGTGCATCTGGAAATGTGGAACATGATGGGGGAGTCTCCGTATCGCGCTGCCAACACCCACTGACAGAGGTGGCCAGGGGCTTCCAGGGCGCGTGCTCTGCCACATTTCCCTGGGAGCCAAAGCAGAACTCTGCATTCCTTTCAGTGGCCACTGCTCAGGCCGAGTGGTGATCCTGGTGCTCGGCCCCTTGCTCGCCCTCCCTCCTCAGCAGAACCTCTTCAGCTCTGCCTCCTCACCCCCCCATGCATGGGGACTCTGTCCACGTCTCTGCATCTCCATGTCTGGCCCCCTTCTCTCACCTGGCTTGTGGCAGCAGCCTCCCTTCTTGTCTCCTTCTTTCCCTCCTCCCCTCTGCTGTCTGTTCTCCTGATGAGCAATATGGCCTCAGCAAGGAGGGAACCATCCAGACACCCCACAAAGCCCAGTGCGATCCAGCCTTGGCTGCCTTTCTTTCACCCCTTTCCCTTAACCTCCCCTGCAACCCAGCTTTATGTTCCCCCTTCTGCCCTTGAATCTCCAGCCATGGAGCCCCACAGGGCCTGTGCATTTGTGGTGTCCTCTGCCCTTATTCTTCCTGCATATTTTTGTTAAGTCAGGCTCCTGGCTTTTTACTTAGGACATGGCTGAGGTACTGTCTCTTTAGAGACAGCCTCCGGGCCTTGCCTGCCCACCTGTAAGCTGGCTCTCCCCACTCCCCATTACCACCTGGCAGGTAGTGACCTGCCTAAGTCACCCTCAACCACCTCACTCACTGTTTTTTTTTTTTTACAACACCCCTGATGTTGATCTCTGGCTTCTTCTCCTGCCCACTCCCCTCACCAGTGAGTGAAGGGACCTCACTGGCATCGTCCCCCAGCCCCTGGGCCAGTGCCTGGTGCTGGGTTGGTGCTAAGTGAGTATTTGAACCAGGGCCTATGCTGGTAGCTGTGGCCAGCACAGCCTGGGTTATCAGTTTTCTCATCCTAGAACCACTCTCTGCCCTACAGAGGTCCAAGTATTGTTGGCTTTTTTTTTTTTCTTCTTTTTTCAGTGCTGGGGATTGAACCCAGGGCCTTGCATACTAGACAAGCCCATAATCATCTACTTATTAATCTCCATTTTTGTCATCTATAAAATAGGACTCTGATTATTCTTTTACTGTGTACTTCACAGGTATAGATGAATATTGATGAAACACTAAACAATAAACCTTAATCTGTGGTTATGTAAATTTGTAGCATTGACTGTGTATTCACAGAGAGAGCTTATGACTTTTTCTTCATCTCTTCTTATTACTGTTTTAATTTAGGCTCAGCTACTTCAGTGCTAGAGTTTCTGTCCCAGAAAGATAGAGAGAGAATCAAAGAAATGAAGCAAGCAACTGATCTGAAAGCAGCTCAGCTCAAAGCCAGGAGTCTGGCCCAGAACGCCGCAGATAGCAGGGCCCAGCCCTCCGCCCCGGACCCTCGACGCTGCTCTTGGCACATGAACTTGGGTGGTGGAACAGCCACGCCAAGAGCCAGCAACTTCAAACCTTTTGCTAAAGATCCAGAAAAGCAAAAGCGATATGAAGAGTTCTTAGTACATATGAGGAAGGGTCAGAAAGGTGGGTGCTAGGCCTGGGCAGGGTGGGGTTCTCTCTCTTTTCTTACCATTCCCATGTGAACTTGAAGTATCCTGTTTTGCCAGTGTTTTTGCTTAGAAAGCAAGAACAAGCTGGGTGGTGGTGCACACCTGTAATCCCAGCACTCAGGAGGAAGAGGCAGGAAGATCAAGAGTTTGAGGCCAATTTAGGCTAATTAGCGAGACCCCGACTCAAAATAAATAGGAAGATGGGTAGAAGGAAGGAAGGATGGATGGATAGCTAGCTGTTGAACCATCTTTGGGCAAACAAACGACTGACTTATGACGTTACTACATCAAGAATGAGGAGAGCAGTGGCTGTTATACAGTGCTCTTGTGAGAAGTTATCAAATTAGAGGGGTTGTTTTTCACAAACAGATCTTTGGGGAATGTGAAGTCTGTTTCCTGGGCCTTCACTGTCTACTAAGAATGCAAGCCCCCTAATATTTCACTGTGAAATTAAAGAATGGTTTAGGGAATGTTTGTCTGCCCAGACAGAGGAATGTATTAGGGATAAACTTTTTTCAAAAAAATTTTTTGGTGGTATTGGGGTTTGAACTCAGGGCCTACACCTTGAGCTACTACATGAGCCCTATTTTTGTGATGGGTTTTTCAAGATAGGGTCTTGGGAACTGTTCACCCAGGGCTGGCTTTGAACCTGGATCCTCCTGATCTCTGTCTCCTGAGTAGCTGGGATTACAGGCGTGAGCCACTGGTGCCCGCTAGTTGGGATAAACTTACAGACACCTGGGAATGAAGTCGGGCTCCTTGCTTCTGAAGGTTTGGCCTTGGTTAATGCTTTCACGAGCCTTCCAAATGCTTTCTGTGCCCTGCATGGCAGGCGGAGTTTGATAAAAGAGTCACAATTGAAGGAGAGGGCCCTATTGACCGGGAAGTACCGCCAGCACGCTGCACATCCATGAAAGCAAGGGTACGGGTGTGCGCTGCTGCGCTGAAATTCAGGGGCGACACTGGCGCCCACCACCTGTTCTTGTTTAAGCCTGGAGTGACAGTGTCTTGTCTCCGTCCCTCAGATGCTCTGGAACGTTGCCTGGATTCCAGCATGACCGAGTGGGAGCGAGGCCGTGAGCGGGAAGAGTTTGCTCGGGCCGCCCAGCTGTATGTGTCTTCGCACTCAACCTTGTCCTCCAGGTTCACCCATGCCAAAGAGGATGACGATTCGGGTCAAGTGCAAGTCCCTCGGGACCAAGAGGTCTGTTGCCACCATGTTCCTGCCTGGTGAATTTTACTTTCCTTTCTCTTCTGCTGTGTTGAGAATTGAACGCAGGGCCTGGCACTTGTTGTGTGCTTTCCCTAACCACTGGGCTGCATGCCCAAGCCTCTGGGGGAATATTAAAATGAAGACATGTACAACTAAGTATTCTAAGCCCCTCAGTGAAAAGATCAAAATACACAGGGCGTAGTAGAGCAGGACACAGTTTGACGTGTCAGCTCCCAAGGCACGTAAGCAAAAAATGACAGCATGAGCTCTTGCAATTCCAGACCATTGCTTGCCATTTTTATTATTTTTAATGTACTTATTTATTCTTGGGGGAGGCCCCAGGGAGTGACATTTAAACGGAAGAGTGGTCAGGTTCATTGCATGACCACTTGGCGAAAGTGCGCGTCTCTTTCCAGAATGACCTCACTGACAAGCAGTCCGCGGTGAAGATGAAGATGTTTGGGAAGCTCACCCGAGACACGTTCGAGTGGCACCCAGACAAGCTGCTGTGTAAGAGGTTCAATGTCCCCGACCCCTACCCAGAGTAAGTGTGCAAGCCCGTGGTGCGTCAGTATGGAGCAGATTCCCTTACACGCCCTTCTGGAGTCCCTTTTCCTGCATGAACTCACTTGAAACGCTTTGGAGTTGCAAATTTTGCAGGTTTACTTTAGCTTCTAGTAACTAATTGCTAAACAGATACCCAGATAGTCAATTTTATTCCATAAATAAAGATCAGACTCAGACATGTCCAGTTACAAAAAATGCCTTTGTTTGCCATCTTTTTAACAGTGCTCATACAATTTACATTTAAAATGTTACTGTGTTTTTTCTTCTTTTTGAGATGCTGGGGATGGAAGGCAGGGCCCCGTACATGTTAGGCACACTTTCTACCACCAAACTACACCTCCAGCCCAGTTACCTATGTTTTTAAATTCTCTTATAAAAGTTCAACACTGAACTTGGGGTGTAGCTCAAGTGGTAGAGCGCCTGCCTAGAAAGCATGGGGCACTGAGTTCAAACCCCAGTACTGCCCCCCACCCCCAATTTTTTTTTAACACTCTCTTATTTGACTGTAAGAAATCTCATACTGTTGAATCAGACTTTGTCAGAAAGTCTAGGTGTGTTTTTTAGTGATGGAACTTTTCCTTGGTAGAAATCTAGATTCAAAATTAAGTTCTAGCTGGGTATAAGTGGCTCACGCCTGTGATCCTAGCTACTTAGGATGCAGAGATTGGGAGGATAGTTTTGGTGGTTGGAAGACAGCCCTGGGCAATTCGTTTGAGAACCCTATCTCAAAAATACCCAACCCAAAACAGGGCTGGTGGAATGGCTCAAATGGTAGAGCACCTGCCTAGCAAGTGTGAGGCCCTGAATTCAAACCTCAGTAGCACCAAACAAATAAAGAAATTAAGCTCTCATGTGGTATTGGTGGTTATCTCTGTATCATTCCAATTTTAGTGTCTGTGTTGTCAAAACGAGCACTGTGGTATAGTGGTAAGCATAGCTGCCTTTCAAAATTAAGTGCTAGCCCTTACACTGATAAGAAAAGACTCCTGGGCTCCCTACTCAGCCATTCTAAATTCCTGAACTTCTTTGAGAAGTGGGAACCCCTAGGGGACCCTTTAGTCAGGTGGGAGAGTGGGTGGAGAATGTGATGGGAGGCTTTATAGGAAGTAGATTTCATCCTAGCAGTTGTTCTTAAAGGTGTGTCTTTTGCTGGGCACCAGTGGCTCACACCTGTAATCCTGGCTACTTGGAAGGCTGAGATCAGGAGGATCACAGTTCGAAACCAGTCCAGGCAAATAGTTCTCAAGACTCCCATCTCCAAAATAACCAGAGCAAAATGAACTGGAGGTGTGGCTCAAGTAGTAGGGTGCCTGCTTTGCAAGTGTGAAGACCTGAGTTCAAACCCCAGTCCCTCCTCCCCCCAAAAAATGTCTTTTATGGTGACACATGCCCGTAATTCTAGCACTTGGGAACTGAGGCAAGAGGATGGTGAGTTTGAGACCAGCCTGGGCTACATTGTGAGACCCTGTCTCAAAAACAAAAAATGTCTTGTTTTCTTTTCAACCTCTAGTTCAACTTTAGTTGGCTTACCAAGAGTGAAACGTGACAAATACTCAGTCTTCAACTTCCTGACACTCCCAGAGCCAACCTCCTTGCCTACAACTCCAGCACCGAGTGAGAAAGTGCCACAGAACCATGGATCCAACAGTGAGTAGGGCTGACCAGGGTCTCAGCCCTTCATCTGTTGGGAAGCAGAGGGCAGTGCAGTCCTGAAGATACACATGGCACAGACTCTCCTCCCTCAGTTCAGAGTTGCTGGGAGCCACAGATCGGTTCAGGGTGTAAGGGTCCTGATATGTACCCCCTGGGGAGGCTCTGTCTGCTCGTGCCACGTCCCCAGCTTTGCCCGGTGCCTGGCCCATCGAAGATGCGCTGATGCTCTGAGCAGGTGAAGAACACACACTGTTATGTCCATTCTCACCTTCCAGAATCCAGGAAACCATCCCGATGGGACACATCTAAGCCAGAAAAGAAAGAAGATTCCATTAGCGAGTTTTTAAGTCTGGCTAGATCAAAAGTGGGTCCACCTAAGCAAGAGGCCAGTCCCCAAGTAAGCAAAGAGGAGGAGCGTGCGCTGGAGCCGCCTTCAGACAAGGTATTTGGGACTTCCAGGCTGTCATCGCAGGTAGACCGTGGCCTTGGCCATTTCTTAGGTCCTCACCACTTGAGTGCAGGATAGCAGGGCTCAGCAAGCCTCTGTGCTGGGCAGGGTGTAAGTTCTTTAGGCTTTGTGGGCTGTACAGTCCCCATCACAGCTACTCAGTCGTGCTGCCCAGTGGGAAGGGAAGCATAGGCAAGAACATAGATGAGCATAGATGCCATGTGCCAATAAAACTTTATTTACAGAGACAGGCAGCAGGTAGGTTGGGCTGTAGTTGGCTGATGCCTGTTCCACAGCCCAACGATTCTATCATTATTCCTGTCACTCTGCCTAGAGTGCTTTCACTTAGCATTGATCCTTGAGGCAAAATTCATTGTGCACATATTGGAAATATAATTCTCCAAATAATAAGTATCCTTTTTGTGTGGAGGAAATACCAAACATATCCATTTTTTAAGTTATTGCTCTAATAGTTAAAAATTAAACCTAATAAACATCGGTTTAGTTTCTAATAATAGCCTCAAGCATCAAAACTGACTTTTCACTGTGTAGTTCAGAGAGTTTCAACATGTTCAGATTCACTGAGCCACTGGCAGTCAGGCTGCCGATGATCCTGACCTCCGAAAACCCCCTCGGGCTGTCCCCGTGCCAGCCTCCCACCCCAGCCTGTCAGCCTTTGATGTGTCTGTCTCTGTGTTTTACTCCTTCCAGAACATCCTATAAAGGAATCAGGCTGTGTACATACACAGCCTTGAGACGAGTGTTTTCGCTCAGCTGCTGCCTCTGAGAACCATCAGTATTGTGTGTGTGTGCATGTGTGCATGTGTGTGCCTGTGTGTCACTCCTCACTTTTGCTGAACAGTGTCACATCGTATGGGTGTACCACCGTGGCGTATTCTTTATCTCTGCAGTGCTGGTGATTGAACCCGGGCACCATGGCCTAGAGTTTACTGACCGTTCACCCAGTGAGGACGTGTGGGTTCTCTCTAGCCTTTGGCCCTCACCAGTGAGACTGCTGGGAATGGATGTGCAGGTGCAGGGTTAGTGTTCATTTCTCTAGAGTGAATAGCTGCAGTGGTGTTTCTGGGTCACATCCGAGTGTACCGAGCTGTAAGACATTGCCCAAGTGTCTTCCAAAGTGGCTTTTGCTTCACGTACCTTCACGCTGTCTTGTTAGGTGGGTACACGCTCAGGGTGCTTATATCTTTTTGGTGAATCATTACGCATCGACACGCTCTATCCCTGGTAATGTTCTTTTGCATTGGTTAGGTTTGTCTAGTATATATTTTTCCATCTTTTTACTTCTTTTTGTTCCTTGGGTTTTTGGTTGGTTGGTTGTTTTGGCAGTACTGGGGTTTGAACTCAGGGCCTACACCTTGAGCTACTCCATCAGGCCTTTTGTGTGATGGGTTTTTTTGAGATAGGGTCTCCAGAATTATTTACCTGGGCTGGCTTCGAACTGTGATCCTCCTGAGTAGCTAGGATTACAGGTGTGAGCCACCGATCCCCAGCTTGTTTTTTGTTTTTTTGAGACAGGGTGTCACTGTGTAGCCCAAATTGGTCACTGGTCAAGACTGAGAAAAGCTGGGTAGCAGAGTCCAGGCCCAGCCTTGCACACCCACTAGGGCGTCTCTGACATCTCTCATCATTTCTGACCTGGGCTCTTCAGAGGTAGCAGGGAAGGCTGACAGGTCCTGGAGCAGATCCTGGAGCTCTCCTGTTTGTCACCGCTGCTTACACTTAGGTTGGCCATGCGTTCCCTGCTGGTGATAAGCTGATGGACAGCAGTGGCCCTGTCTTCATACCTTCGCTCCTTGCACTCCCTGTGTACTGAGTTGGGTTTGTGCAGACTTACTGCCTCTTTCCTTTGTCAGTCTGACTGTCCACCACCCGGGCTAACTTTAAGAAGGATAATGTGTAATTGCAGAGGGAATCTATGACCATTTTATTCATGTGTTCCTGGCTTCCACCCTGTGAGGCCCCAAAGGTTTTTCTTCAGTACTTCCTGCAGGCAGTCTCTGTTACTTTGTTGTTGTTTTAGATGGGCTGTCACTAGCCTAGACTGACCTTGAACTTGAGTCCTCCTGCCTTAGCCTTCCAAGTATAGGATTACAGGTGCGCACCACACACCCAGCTCTCTTCATTACTTTTAATGCTGGCCCTGAAGGCTTGGAGAGACAGGCTTTTGAAGATAAGGCAGAGGCATGGTGCTCTACTTCACTGTCCTGGGTCCTCTGCTGTTCTGACTAGTGACCAGTCACTAAGCAGCTCCTGCCTTATCCGAACATTCTAGAGAAATCCCCCAAAACAAATGCTGCGTGGGAGTCACAGCTTGGTTAGGCAGTGTGAGGCTGTGTACAGAGGTGTGAATTTCAGCGTGTGTGTGTGTGTGTGTGTGTGTTCTAGAGCCTCGGGTGCCTTGTCCGCTCTTGACTCTTACCTCACTGTCGATACAGGCTGTAGACAGAGCCGAGGGCTCGCAGACGGTAGAGGAAGGAGGCCGCCCAGCCATGGACTTGTTCAAAGCCATCTTTGCCAGCTCCTCAGAGGAAAAGTCCTCATCCTCCGAGGAAGAGCCGGGTGACAGTGAGGATGACCAGGAGGGCGCCGAGGAGGCCGAGCTCAAAAGTGTCCAAGAGACGGACACGGGGGGAGCCTCAGCTGTGGCAGGTAGTACGTTGGGCTGGAGGGTGAAAGGAAAGGTGATGGTGCAGTCTTCCATCTCAGATCCTAAGATCAGGGTGGTTAGCAACCAGTGAGTGTGATATCACATAGACGTAGAAAGCTTTGCGTGTGTGCACGCAAAAGAAAAGAGAGAGAGAGCGAGGGCTTTTGCTCAGGCTGGCAGGGAGGAGGTGCCAGGATTGTGGGAAGGCACTGGGTATGAAGCACCAGGGGCTGTCCCGGCAGGTGGGCATCAGTGGTCACAGGCTGTCCTTGGTAAGGGGGTATGCGCTCATCCCCGCGGGTGCCACGCTGCTCAGCAGCCTGGCCTGATGTTCTCCTTCCCACCAGAAACTGCAGACACAGGACAGGCTGCCTGCTCCTGCGGGGTCAGAGACTTCCAGACGCTTGGCTGGTGGACAGAATTTCTCCTGTGTCTTAGAGTGGGCTGCCTGCTCTCAGTCTGTGCTGAACTGGGTATAGTTTTGAGGGTCTTTAATCAAAAAGTTATGTAGAAATATAAATTCTTATGTATTTTTAGGTGATTGCAATTATCACCCTTTCTTTCTGTTAGTTTTTTTTTATAACAAGGTCATATATTCTTGAATTTTAAAAGTATAGAAAAGCAGAAAGCTTAAGTCCATTGTAATCTCATTTTCTAGAAGTAACCTCTGTGAACTCTTTGCATAGTTTTGTTTTTATCTTTTTATTTGAAAATGTGGTAATTTGTTTAAATAATGTGATTATTAATGTGAACATGATTTATTTTCACTTTTTCCCTCATTGATAATTTATTTATTTATTTTTGTTGTTGGGGTTGTTTGTTTTGTTTTGTTTTTTGAGATGGGGTTTCCCATGTAGCCCAGGGCAGCCTGGAGCTCACAACCCCCCTGCCTCAGTCTTGTGGCAGCTGGGATTACAGGTGTGCACCACCATGCCTGCTCCCTGATAGCTTCCTGATTTACTATTATTATTATTTTGGTGTCATGGGGTTTGAACTTAGGGCTTTGCACTTGCAAAGAAGGTGCTCTACTGCTTGGCGCACACCTCCAGCCCTGCTCTGGTTATTTTGGAGATGGGGTTTCAATTTGCAGGGTCTGGTTTTGAACCAAGACCCTCCTGGTCTCTGCATCCCAAGCGGCTGGGATTGTGTGTGAGTTGCCAGAGCCTAGTGAAGTAACCATCCCGGTTTTTTCGGGTGTGTGTAGGGTGCCCAGAAGACCATGGTCTTCATCTCTGTTTGTTCTCAGCTGGCCAATGTGGGGTGTGTGCCTGTGTGGCAGCCCTGCGTGCGCTTGGCTGTGGCTGACTTCCCAGTCACGGTGCCCATGGCACAGAGGTGGACTTGCCATGTTCCCTCGTGTGTGCTCGGCCCTGGAGGAGCTACTTGAGCAAAGAGAAGACAAGCCCCTGAGTGACAAAAGACATTGATTGAATGTTACACACTCTGATCTTGGCAAGTGAATGAAGTGAACGCCCTCATGTCTTTCAGCTAGCAAGCTGGAGCACAGTGAACTCGCCCCACTGCCCTTCCCGATACAAAAGATGCAGATCGATGAACGAGAAGAGTTCGGCCCTCGGCTGCCACCTGTCTTCTGCCCCAGTGAGTCCAGAGCGCCTCAGTTCACCTGCTGGCTCCAGCTTGTGTCTCTGCTGAGATGTGACAGCTCTCACTGCGCTGTGACGCTTGCCCTCACACCCAGCCTGTGGCCCCCACACCTGCAGGCTTATTTCTGGTTGCTCTGGTCTCAGTTTGATTTTGAAGCTCATTGCCTCTACCTAATACCTGAGTAACAGCTGCTGCTTTACAGCTTTTTCTCCTTTCCAGCTTTTGGGTGTGTGTGGTAGGACCCTAGCATCTTAAACTTTGTCGCACACCTGTAATCCCAGCACTCGGGAGGCTGAGGAGGCAGGAGGATCCTGAGTCTGAGGCCAGCCTGGGCTACAGAGTGAGACCCTGTCTTTAAAAAAAAAAAATTGTCACTTAAGAAGTACGAATCTGGCATACGAAGATGGGAGGGGAACTGAGCGAGAAGAGTAGTGTGAGGCTCTTCTAAACTTTGGCCACTGTTCTTTCAGAAGTACGTACAGCCTGCCCTGCCCCCAGTGTCTGATGGCCACTCTGAGCAGTGCCATCTTCTGTTGACATCTCCTGTCACAATATTTAGACGAGTTTTTATCATCTCTTTGAAGGCTGACTTAACAAAATATCTGATAACATGGCTCAGCTACAGAATACCGTATCATCCCATTGCACCCATGTAAATATTGGTTTGGTTACTAACCTAGCTTTCAAAGACATGATGAAAAGCAGAGAAAAGACGTATGAAGCTTAGCTGGGTGCTAGTGGCTCACACCTGTAATCCCAGTTACTAAGGAGGCAGATGTCAAGAGGATCTTGGTTCAAAGCCAGTCCAGGCAATAGTTCTCAAGACCCTATCTCAAAAAACCCATCACAAAAAAGGGCTGGTGGAGTGGCTCAAGGTGTAGGCCCTGAGTTCAAACTCCACCACACACACACACACAAAGTGTAACGCTCAGAAAGATTGCAGCGAGTCAAAGCAAATGCAGTATTTCGCATTTGCTTTGGCTGTTGAGGTTTTTAGTTTAAATCTGGTGTCAGTACTTGATCACTAAGCAAGTTATGTCCCTTTCCTGGTTCTCAGCTCAGTACCCCTGATAGCAACAGTTTAGTAGACAGGTCATTTAGGGAAAATGGCTTTTCAAAAGCTAGCATTGAAAGTAAAAGTCTCTGGAGGCTGAGGATGTAGTTCGTGGTAGAAAGCTTGCCTCCATGTGGAAGGGCCTGGGTTTGATCCCCAGCACCACAAAAACTAGAGAAAAAGTGTTTATCATTCGGTTGCTCCTTGCTTAAAACAAAACAAAACAAAACCAGGGTTGGCAGAGTGGCTCAAGTGGTAGAGTGTCTGCCTAGAAAGCATGAGGCCCTGAGTTCAAGTCCCAGTACCACCAAAACAAAACAAAAAAGTTTGGGAAGGTCAAATTCTGAAATTTTTAGAATACTAGACATTTTAAGCACGTGTTAGTTGTGTTTGGAAACTGTCCACACTCTGGAGACATCTCAAATCTATTCCTTTTTTTTTTTTTTTTCTTTTGGTGGGACTGGGATTTGAACTCAGAGCTTCATGCTTTCGATGTAGGCACTGTGCCACTTGAGCCACACCTCTAGTCCATTGTGCTCTGGTTATTTTGGAGATGGGGTCTAGAGAACTATTTGCCCAGGCTGATCTCAACCTTCAATCTTGCCAACATCAGCCTTTTCCCAGTAGCTAGGATTACAGGTGTTAGCCATTGGCACCCAGCTCATTCTGTTGTTTTGATGGCAGTTTTTTAGTATTTTCACTTTCAAGACAACTTCTTGCACATGTGCTTTGTAAAGAGAGAGTGACATGAAGAACTGACTTTTGTGTTTGCGGCACTGGGGCTTGAACTCAGGGCCTTGCACTTGCTAGGCAGGTACTCTACCACTTGAGCCACTCCACCAGGCAGTGGCCTGTGGCTGGTCCCCGCCCTCCTCCCCCTGTCCCTGCCCAAGTCGGATTCCTTGTCACCCCATTTTACAGAGGAGCGGCCCCAAAGCTGAGATCTGGCCTGTGTCTGAGCTGGAGTTAGTGTCAGCGGGCTCGCGGGCTTCTGCTCTGATCCATCTTCACCTGACGTCACGGGCCGATTGGCGACGGCACAGCGTGTGGGACTGCGTGTGCTTACACTGAGGCCTCTGGCAGCTTCCTCCTAACGTCTGAAGCGGGTGCTGAAGCATGTCGTACTGAGCTGTCTGCCAGGAGCTGGTGCTCTAACATGCTCCCAGCTGTCGTGGGCATGACTTGTTCTACAGTCAGGCTTTGTCCTCCCTGGAGGCCCCATGTGTATCACATTTGCATTTCAGATGCTCGGCAGAGGCTCCAGACCCCTCCGAAGGAGAGACATAAAAAGAACAAAGACAAACACAAGACCCAGAAGGAGCACAGACGGAAGAAAGAGAAGGTGCGTGCTTGGAGGGGTGTCGGCTGGTGGGTCTGATGCTGCTTCTGGGGTGCAAATGAGCCCCTGGGGTGACTGGTGAAGCCAGTGGAGGAGAGGTGCTCCCTGCTAAGGTGGGGCATTCATGGCCAATGCTCGTTTCTCAGAAGCTTTGTTTTTCCTTCAGAGCAGCGCATGTTGATTTGTTGAGCTGTACTTTAAGAAGTAATTATGCGTGCATGTGTCTGGATTTATGGCAGGCCTGTCCCCCTGGGCCTCTCACAGTGACCGTGCCACAGCAGACTGGCTCCGAACCACTGCCTGGCCTCTGCCATCAGCTGCTGGCACTGAAGCGGGTTGCACAGTGGGGAAAAAATGGTGAAGATTAAAAAGAAGGAAAGAGGCTTTTCAGGGAGCATGAAGATTGAGTATTAAATAACCAAATAGTATGCATTGAGGCTGGTGGAGTGGCTCAAGTCGTAAGAGCAGCTGCCTAGCAAACATGAGGCCCTGAGTTCAAACCTCAGTGCAGCCAAAAACAAAAACCAGTATGCATTGATTGTTCCATATTAAATGGAGGTATTATTTTGAACACTTCTTGAGTACTTTTTTGTGGTACTGGAGATGAAACCTAGAGTCTTGCTAGGCAAGAGCGCTATCTCTGAGCTGCACCACAGCCCTGCCGTCACAATGAGGTTTCAGTAGATGACTCACCCTGTGATGTCAAGGAAACACAGGAGCAGTGGCAGGCTCTGCCGGCACCTCTCAGCTAACTGCCCAAGTCCCTAAGACTTCTAACCTTGTCGCTGTTACTGTTAGGCACCCAGAGAGTAGAACAGATTAGAAATGGCTCTGTGTCGGTGACCACAGGACAGGGCTCCTGGGTAGAAGGTGACTAAGGTTCCGGTTCCCATGCATGGAAAACGCCAGTGCAGCGCAGACAGGTTTGAGAAGGAGTCCCTGTGTCCTAACCAGTGCTGCTGTTTGTCTCTTTTGCCTGCTGCTCTTTGAGCTGCTCCCAGCTGCACTCAGGTTCACTGCTGTGGGGGCTGAGTGTCAAGCAGGTCCTGTCTGTGGCTGTGGCAGAGGTTCAGCCCTGTCAGGGTGTATGGGGGAAGTGTGCAGCCAGAGCTCACTCTAATGGAGGGCTTTGATTTTGTTTCATTTTATCTTAATTTTTAAAAGATTTTTCATTTTGTTTTTGGGTAACACCAGCAACCAAATGCGTGTCTGGGGTAGTCTCAGCCAGCACCCCCTGTGCTGGGAATGGAGTCCAGCTCCTCCTGCATGCTAGGCAACCACTTTGCCATTGACCTACCTCCCAGTGCCAAGTTAGCTTTTCATTGTGCCAAGATGGGAAGGAAGGAAGACGCCTGCTTGTTTCCACTTGTGACCACTCTTGTTTTTCCAGAAAAAGAAACACAAGAAGCACAAACACAAAAGCAAGCAAAAAATTAAGAAGTCAGAGAAAAGTAGCAGTTCTGAGGGCACCGACAGCAGTGACAGCCAGAGTGATGAGGAGGGTCCCTCAGACCTGTCACCCCAGGAGCTGCTGAAACGGTAGGCCATGGAGACTTTTTTTTTTTTTGATAGAACCGGGGTTTGAACTCAGGGCTTTCTGTTTGCAAAGCAGGTGCTCTACCGCTTGAGCTGTATACACCTCCAGTCCATTTTGCTCTGGTTATTTTGGAGATAGCGTTTCTTGAACTATTTGCCTAGGCTGGCCTCAAACCTTGATCCTTCTGATCTAAGTCTCCCAAGTTGCTAGGATTACAGGCGTGAGTCACTGGTGCCTGGCCCATGAAGATTTTCAAAGCTAGATGGGTACTTGGTGCATTTGTAAACATGATAATGAGAAATTTGTATATTAACAAGCCCTTAAAAAATTGTAATAGTTCATTCCACAAATAATTTGTGAATATATTATTCTGACGAAAATTCAGACCATACAGATGAGCTTTAAGGGGCCTTGACCAATTCCCCCACCTCACTCTCCCACAGTAACCTCTGCCCTTGTTTTGCCATAACCTTCAAGACTTGTGCAACCACACACATACACACATGCCCTTACGCACGATTTTCCCTGCACACTCCTGTTATAAATGTAATCCCATGGCGTACATTTGTAGGGGTAGAAACATTTGTGATGAGTAAGTACTGCCAGAGTGCCTCCCCTCCTCCCTCCCCTCCTCCCTCCCCTCTTCTCTTCCTTCTTTTTTTTTTTTTTTTTTATTGACAGAGTCTCACTCTGTAGCCCTGGCTGGCCTGGATCTCATCCTCCTGCCTTGCTTGGCTTCCCGAGTGTGCCACCGTGCCTGATGCCACCTTAATACTTGTATAGTTTTGTTTTAATCTTTTTGGAACTTCTCTTTGTTGTTTGTGTGAACAGAGTAAGGAAAGCATCTAGCTTACTTCTTTTCTCCATCTACCTTTCTTCATTCTTCTTTTCTGAGCCCGTGTGCTGTCAGAGTGAGTATGCTAGCTGCAACTGAATTTTTTACTTTTTGTGTGTGTGTGTGTGGGACTTGAATTCAGGGCCTTGTGCTTGCTAGGCAGGCACTGTACCTCTTGAGCCACCAGCCCAGTGAGCTGCAGTTGAAAAGAACCCCACGTGTGGTGGCTCAGCACCACGAGCCACCATGGAGGAAGTTGCTGTGGATCCCCGTCTGCTCCCACTGAGCACGCGGTCTCCATAGGAGAGGGCAGGGTTGGATGACGGCACTGAAAGCTGCTATGGGCCTGCTTGCAGCTCTCCATCATCACTTCCTCTCACAGATCATGGGCCAGAGCAGGTGTATGGGCCACCTGGTCACCTGGAACCGGGATGGGTGGCCCAGCTGCAGCCCAGGATGGAGGGGAACATCAGGGGTGAGCCTGGGCCTCTGTGCCCCACCCGGTGTCATATCTCATTAAGGCAGTGTAATTCAGTCCTGTTCTGAATCCCTGGGCCTATGGATGCTCTAGTATGACTTCTTAAGCATTTTGTATTTTCTGTCCACCTGTTCTGATTACTGTATCCTTACGGCATTGCCCTCTGGAGAGACCTTTTCATTTCTTTAGAATGCACAGTTCTAAAATCCCAAGGGCAGGAGCATTTCTAATTAATCCCTTACTCCTGAAGATACTGTGCAACTCTTGTCCCTTTCCTCCTCCGCCTCCCGTGTGAGCAGAGGCGGGTGGGAGGCGCCCGCGGTGCGAGCGCACTTCATCCTGGCACCACCTGTGAGGTCTAAGCCTGTCCCCCCACACATGGGGACAGCCAGGCACAGGGGTTATGTCACTGTCCAGACCATACAACGTTCCCACACCTCATGTCACCACTCGGTCAGTGTTGGCCACCTCCTGAGGGACAGCTTGCACCTGCACATGGGCCACGCAGGGAGGCCCCTCAGTGCCCACCAAGAGGGTGGGCAGGACACCAGGGCGCTGGGTGGCACTTCACACTTTACTACCTAGAGGGCAACGAGTGTCTCCCTCCGCCCTCTGTGAAGCTCATGTGAGCTGTGGGGTCAGCGCCCACCACTGTAACAGCTGCGAGGCAACTGACTTAGAAAGAGAAGAGGCTTGCTTAGCTCACAGTTTTGGGGTTCCAGTGCATGATCAGTTGGCCCTGTCGTCTTGGGCCTGTGGGGAGGCAGTACGTCATGGCAGGAGCATAGGTGGAGCAAAACTGCTCACCTCGTGACCAGGAGGTGAAAAGACAGCAAGAAGACGGGGCTGGGCTCTGCCATCCCCTCTGAGGACACACCCCATGACCTAAAGACCCTCCCTCTGCACCCCACCTCCTGAAGTTTCCACCAATTGCGCTACAAGCTGGGGACCAAGCCTGTACCACATGGACCTTGGGGATGCTTCCCAGGAAAAGGCTGGGATTCGCACCACACATTGTCTGCGGAAGACCTGGCGGGGGAGGGAGGGTTGGGGTGTGGTGCGTGGTGGTTGCCGGAGCTACACTTCCTCAGCCTCCTTGGCCGTCCCCGAGGAGCCTGGAGGGCCCTCATCACAGCCACTGCACCTCACCCCACCTGTGTGCATTGCCCAGCCGTGTCTGTCTTCTGCATCCCTGACACTTCCTTTCATGGCTGTGAAACCTGGTTCTGGTTGGACTTGCAGTCTGTCCCCACCCCTGTCTCCAGGAGACCTCACTTGTCCCTGTCACTCAGTGTGAGCTATGTCTGTACTTACTATGGACATATGTTCTGGAAGACCACAGACATGGAACCATACGGTTTGGTGAGCTTTGATTGCACACACATGCAAGAGTGTGCACAGTCCACTGCCTGAGCACCGCCATGAGTGAGCACCAGTCAAGGTGGCCCTGGCTCTAAAGTCCTGTGCTTCCCCCTCAACCTCCCTCTCCCCGAGATGACCACTCCCCTGGCTCCATCACTGTTGGCTACTCTTGCCAGTTCTTAATTTCATTGAAAGGAATCATGTTTTCTTTCTTTCTTTTTTTTTTTTTGGCACTGGGGTTTGAACTCAGGGCCTCACACTTGCTATGCAGGCGCTCTTACTGCTTGAGCCACTCTGCCAGCCTCATGTTTTCTTTAGTTGTTTTGTTTTGTGGTGCTGGGGATGGAACCCAGGGCCTCACACATGCAGGCAAGTGCTCTACCACTGAGCCATGCCCCAGCCCTAAAGGAATCCCTTGTGTGGTTGATGGGGCTCTCCTATGCTGGCTTAGGTGACTCTCTTGTCACCTAGGCAGCAGGAGCTGGTTCCATCTTGCTTTTCCCTTTCTCCCTGCAAATAACCGCTGTCTGTCTATTCTGTTGTCACACATTCGGCTTTCTGTGGGGAGCACGAACCCAGGACCAGTGTGACCCAGCTCTGCTCTGGGCACAGTGGCCGTCACCTCACAACCCTGAGCTTTTCTGGAGTGAACATGTTTTTGGTTTTCCTTTTTCTTTCCTCGCCATATTTCTTCTTATATGTGTCAGAACTCATAGTATACAATGAGTTCGGGGTTGCTGAAGAGGGTTTATTTTTTGCACTGTCTGTAAGCCTTTGTGCATAAGTTAAGCAAAACCACACACAAGCGCCATGCAAAAACACGTTTCAGTTCGTTGTCAGAGGTCGTGCAGTGAGTGAAGAGACCCTAATTCAGAATGTGGCTGTTTTTGAGGTCAGGATTAGACCTGGCTTCATGGCGGGTGGTCGTCCCCTGCGTTTGGCGCACTGCGACTCAGGCTGTTCCCAGCCATTTGGCTTTTCAGTTCCTATCTAACTCACCTCATTTGTTCTGCTTTCTTTTCCAGGCTGAAGCGTCTCCCACTAAGAAGGCAGTAATTGAACTCTGCGCTGGCCTGTCCCCCGTCACATCTCCCTGTGATGGATGCCCACTGATTGCTGAGTGCATTGTACAGATTGTATTTATATGTAAATTCCTGCTGTAAAATAATTTTTAAAACCTTGGCATTTCAAAGACTGCCTTGAAAGGTTGCAGAAATTGACTTCTATTTTTAACTCCAGTTGGTGTCAGAGAGGAAAATTCAGACTGAACGGCTTAATTAAAGAGGCGTTTTTCTATTTTTCCACTTGATTTGTTAATTTCCAGGACAATTTAAAACGAAATGAAAGGTGAAGGCTTTCCTCTGGTTTTGCTGTAAAGAGCTCTGTGTCCAGAGAGGGCAATGAAGGACGTGGGTGTGGACGGCTGATCTCCCTCCCGTTCTGGGTTGCTGGTGGTGGCCAGGAGCACAGCAAGCAGGGTGCCCTGGCTGGGCCTCGTACCCCAAGGGTGGGTGTCACTAAGGCATCTGACATGGACATCGAGACCAAGTGGGAGAATGTGCACTCACTGCCCAGGCCTCCTGACTCTGGGCCCCTGCTCGAGGCATCTCATGCCTCCCCAGAGAGCAAGTGTGGGGCTGGGTGCCCCTCAGCGGTGAGCGCTTGCCCAGTCTGTGTCAGCCCCGGGCTCTGTCCCCAGCACCCAGCGGGGAGCAAAGGAAGCAAGTAGCAAGTGCAGAGGTTTTTACCCTGTGAAAGAAACTGGAAAGTTCCCCAGTACCACCACCACATTTAAAAAAAAAACAGAAAAACTAAGCTGGTCACTGGTGGCTCTCGCCTGTAATCCCAGCTACTCAGGAGGCAGAGATCAGGAGGATCATGGTTCAAAGCCAGCCCAGGCAAATAGTTTGTGAGACCCTATCTCAAAAAAACCCATCCCAAAAAAGAGCTGGTGGAGTGGCTCAAGGTGTAGGCCCTGAGTTCAAACCCCAGTACTGCAAAAAAAAAAAAACCCCAAAACAAAAACAAAAAAAACCCTAGAGAGAAACAGTTTTAGCAGGAGAAAGCAGGAAGAAAATCCCTTCTGGTTTCACCACCTAAACATGACAGGCCTCAGCATTTTTGAACAATCCCATCCGGCGTTTGTTAGTGTGTTTTGCTGTGTCTTTCATCAGCATTGTGACAATCAGATGTGACCTGACCTTAAACAGCTGCATGGCATTTCATGTGGAGGCCATGCAATAAATAAGTTGACCATTTCTCTGTCAATACATGAAGTGGGTTGGCCAGGCGCAGCTACACAGGCAAGGAACCCACAGGAATTGCCCTGTGACAGAGAGCCAGGAAGACCCAAAAGGAGAACACAAGGGTGGGGTCGCTGGTTTAGCACCGGACACCTTCCTCTAGACAGGTTCTACTGTGTTTCCCAGGCTGGCCTGGAACTCGCGATCCCCTGCCTCAGCGACAGAGTGCTGGGACTGCAGGCGTGATCACCAGGCCGGGTTGGGCTGGCGCAGAGGCGGCGGGGTGGCCCACCATGGCGGCACGGGGTCCGGGCGCGGGGCGTGGAGGGGCGCGGGGCACCGTTCCCCGCCAGGTGTGTGTGGCCACCAGCAGGTCGGGCTCCGAGATGGCCTCACCGCCAAGCAGCAGGAAGTCCTCGGCGCAGTCCAGGAAGACTTCGTCCATCTCCAGCAACTGGGCCAGCACGGGCAGGTCGGGCTCTCTCCTGTCCGGCTCCAGGAGGGTCTCGGGCGAGTCCAGGAAGGGCCCGACCGTCTCTGGGAGCTCGTACCGGCCCCGCAAGGTGCCCTGGGCCACCCTGGTGAGGGCTTTGGGCCGCTTCAAGCTATTTCTCCCCGAGATCCGCCGGGACCAGCTGCTGGCCGCCTACGACCCCCTGGCCTTGGATGAAGTCCCTCAGCCATGGGCGGAGCAGGACACCACGTCGCAGAAGACGTTCTGGGGCGACCATCAGCAACTCTCCAAGGTCGGAACCGCCCAGGAGGGCAGGGGAGGGCAGGGGAGGGCGCACGCGGTTCTTGGGGCGCCCTTGGCTTTGGGGCCGCGCGCTGGCCGCAGGCGCTGCACCTGTCACGGCCGCAGCCCCCGCCCCGCGCGCCACCTGGTTACCCCTCCCTGCACCTGCACCCCTCGCCGCGGGAAACCAGCCTGAACCCCTCCTCTCCTCGTTCACGACCCCCAGTGCTTCCCCAGCTGGCACGTGCACCCCACCCCAGGACATGTGGCCCTGGGCAGCAGGGCGTTGGCAAGCTTGCTCCCTCTGCTTCTGAGCTCTATGGAGACGTTTTTTCACATAGCAGCTGATTCTGGTGCACAACACGGAGGAGTCAGCGGTCTTTAAGGATTCCCAGACTGATGCAGCCATCACCCCAAAAAGACACTCCACTTAGCAGTCTCCTATCTCCCCATAAGCCCATGTCCCCAACTCTAGGTGGCCACCAGACTACTTTCTGCCTCAGTAGAATGCTGGTTCTGTACCTGTCAAAGGCCAGTGATGCGCGGTCTTTTTTAACTGGCTTCTTTCCCTTGCCACAGTGTTTTTAAACTTTATCCACGTGATACTATGTATCAGTACTTTACGCTTTGTTTTTTTAAATTAATTTATTTTGTAGTACTAGGGTTTAAACCCAGGGCTTTGTGCTTTCTAGGCAGGTGGTCTACCGCAACAGTCACTCCACCAGCCCTTTTATTATTATTATTATTATTATTATTATTGGTATTGGTATTGGTATTTTCGAGATGGTGTCTATTTTGCCCAGTGCTGGCTTCGAACTGTGATCCTCCTGATCTCTGCTTCCTCAGTAGCTAAGATTACAGGCATGAGCCACTGACTTCTTATTTTGTTGTCAAATAACATTCCATTGTATGGTCTATGCCACATTTTACTTAGTCATTCAACGGGTGATGGACTCCTGTGTTGTTTTCTTGCCATGAATATTCTGTATGTATGCACAAGATTTGGGGTACACATTTTAACTTTTTCACATGGGTGTGAAATTAGTGGGCTACATTTTAATTTACACGTTTACCTTTTGGAAGAAGTGCTGAATTACTTTTCCAAAGTGGCTGCACAATTTTGCATTCCCATCAGCCTTGTGGGCGTTTATCACAGCCACCCTAATGCCGTGACATGGGATCTCTGCCCGCATGGGTTACAGGCGTGAGCCACCCGCGCCTGGCTTGCTTGTCTGTTCGGTGTTGAGATGTAAGGGTTCTTCACTCTACACACAGGCCCTTGTTGGATACCTGATGCACAAAATGTTTTCCCGTTCTCTTTTCACTTCTTGATGGCATGCTTTGAATTTACATGTGTGTTTCCCTCTCAGAATGACATGGTTTTCATGCCTACGTTGAAGCCTTAGGTCTATTCTGAGTTCATTTTTATATGTGATGGGTGTGGCATGTGGATAGCTAGAACAATCTGCTAAAAAGGCTATTGTCTCCCTACATAATTGCCTTGACATCTCGTAACCACAGTCGACATAAACGTGAGTATTTCTTTTTTTTTTTTTTTGGCAGTACTGGGATTTGAACTCAGGACCTTACTCTTGCTAGGCAGGAACCTTACTACTTGAGCCACTCTGCCAGCTCCCCACCCCCTTTTTTTTTTTGATAAGTTTTTCAAGATAGGGTCTCACAAATGATTTGTCCAGGCTGGCTTCAAACCTGGATCCTCCTGATCTCAGCCTCCTGAGTAGCTGGGATTACAGGCGTGCGCCACCAGCGCCCAGCAAATTTGAATGTTTCTTTCTGGAGTCTCAACTGTATTTCACTGGCTTCTTGTTCTAGCTTCATGCTGGTATACCGTCTTGATTAATTTTGATTAATTGCTTGGTCATAAGTTTCAAAGTCAAGAAGTGTGAGTCCTCTGCCTTTGTTCTTTTTAAAGGTTGTTCATGGCTGTTTGGGTTCTTGTCAATCTTCCTATAAGCTTTAGGGTCAGCTTGTGAGGTCCTACAGAGAACTCAGCTTGGAACCTGATGAGCTGGTGTTGAATCTATAGAACCTCTCCGAGAGTATTGTCATTTTAACAATACTACCCCTGCCTGTCTATGAACATGGGCTATCTTCCCATTTATTTAGATCTTTCAACAGGGTTTTATGATTTCCAAAATGCAAGTTGTACCTGTTCTTTCTTTAGTTCATTCCTGCGTGTTTTTGAAAATGGAATGTTTTTACTATTTTTTTTTCAGATCACTCATGGCAAGTGTTCAGAAATACAATTTATCATTATTATTATTGTTGTCATCTTGGTGGAGCCGGGGTTTGATCTTAGGACTTTACACTTGCAAAGCAAGAGCGCTACTGCTTGACCCGTCCATTTTGCTCTGGTTATTTTGGAGATAGGATCTCATGACCTATTCACTCAGGCTGGCCTCCAATTGCAGTCCTCCTGATCTCAGCCTCCCAAGTACCTCCCAGGCATGAGCCACCGGTGCCCGGCTGCAAGTGACTTTTTCACAACACTCTTGTATCCTGTATCATTGTGAGACGTGTTTTTTTCTTTCTCTTTTATTTTTCAGATCCCATTTAAAACCCTGCATGGGCACGAGCAGGCCGTGAGCTCCTGTCACTTCTGCGTGGACGATACCAAGCTCCTCAGCGGTTCCTATGACTGCACTGTGAAGCTGTGGGTAGGTGGCTGTGTGGGCGTCTCCTGGGGCTAAAATGTCTCACAAGCTTGGGCACCTCCTGTGGCCAGCTCCCCGGTACCGAGGCCAAAGGTTTGTAAAAGCCTCTGAACAAAGCCAAGACAGAGGCGCCCACCCCGAAGTGTCAGGCCGTCAGAGAGAGGTCAGTGGGCCAGCAGCCAGTCTGTGGGTCTGGATGCAGTGCGGGGAGGGGACGGAGACCAAAAGACCGACAGCCCCAGGCTTTGGAGAGGTTGGTCCTGGTGTGGCTGGATCCTACCTGGGCTCTCTCCTCGCCCTGCCTCACCTCACCTCACCTCCCCTCTTTCTTTTCTGAGATGACTTTCTATGCAGGCTGGTTTACATAGGAAGAGACTTACTACGAGACTTACTATATAGCCCAGGCTGGCTTTGAACTCACAATCCTCCTATCTCCACCTCCCAAGTGCTGGGATTTCAGCTGTGCACCACCACACTTGGCTGAGCTGTCATTTGTCTGGGGCTGGTGTACTGAGTGTGGATCAGTACACTAGGGGAAGAAGGCACAGGGTTGCAGGCAGGTAGCCACCAGAACCTGTCCAGAGCCTTGTGGATGTGGCCAGCTGACGCTGGCTGCGGGAGGAGCAGGGCTGGGGGATGGCAGTGGCAGTTGGGGAGGTGGGGACAGGCAGAAGGTGGCTGGGTAGGACAGTCAGTTCTGAGTTTCACTGGCCTCTGGCTTCAGAGGCAGGAAGGGGATGGGGTGGAAAGAGTCAGGGCTGGTTCCTGGTTCTGGTGTAGATAACTGAGTCCATCCCCTGACCCTACAGATGCCCTCAAGGATATCTTCAGTCATCTGGGGGCCAAGGCCATGCTGACTGGGCAGGAGGGTTTGTAGGCTGTCCCTGTTGGTCATACCCCATGCGCAGGACCTGCCAGCTGTGTGGCTCCGGTGGTTATGCCACCTTCTGGGCATCCTGATCCTCTCCAGCCTCACAGAACCATCTGTGTGCTTGGGCTGCCCAGCCCAGACCCCAGCAGTGCCCACTCCCTCCCTCTGCTGCAGCCCCTGTGACCCCTCCCCCGTCCCAGGGCTCTGGGTTCCCCAACCCACAGCCCCTGTCCCAGAGCCCATGATGGCCTGGTTGGTAAGGCTGCCACTTTCTCTGGGGAACCTTTAATTCTTTTTCTAACCCTCTGGGGTGACCTGGAAACCCTGGTTCAGGGGCTCTCTGCCCCTGTGACCAGAGGACAGGGTGGTAACTGTGCAGGTCACCATCCTCGGATTCTTCCTTCCTTCTCACCTGTGAGTCAGCAGGACTCATGGGCTTGCTGTTTGGGCTGAAGGGCTGTCGTCTCCAGAAACGGATATCTGCCTTTTCCCCTTTGGTTGTTGTCCCCAAACTAGGGACCATCCACTGAAATCTCCCGGGTTCCCCGTGGCAGCTCCGTGCCCTGGTTCCATGCCTGTCCCACACTTTACCCACAGGGCTGTCAGTTCTACCTCTGAAGCTCTCTTCCTCCCCTGAGCTACCACTCTTCCTGTCCCAGGAAATGTGTCTCAGTGTCCACACCCTCACCCCGACCTTGCCTCTGCCTCCTCCTCCAGGCAGACCTGCCCACCCACCGAGCCTTGCTCACGTCTTTTTGGGGTTTGAACTCAGGGCCTCATGCTTGCTAAGCAGGTGCTCTACCACTGGAGCCACTGTCCAGCCCTTTTCACTTTAGTTTATTTTTCAGATAGGATCTTGCTTTTGCCCAGGCCAGCCTCGAACCACAGTCCTCCAGTCTCTGCCTCTTGTGTAGCTGGGATTACAGGCAGGCACCACTGAGCCTGGCCCAACACTTCTTCACCTCTAGTTCCAAAATTGGCAGTTCCCCTTTGGGCTTCCTGCCTTGGCACCCACAGTGACTGCCTCCCCCCCAGGAGTCCCCTCTCTTTGCTCTAATGCTCTTCTCCTTATAGGAGGTTTTTCTAACTATTAGGGCCCCTTTCCTCCTCATTCATTCAAAACTGATCAGTGTCCCCCCTTCATATTGTCCGAGGCCACAGGTGGGTGCTCCTTCCAAATGCCCAGTGCAGAGAGCTGGCTGCTCTGTCCACAGCTGCTGTTCCTTTTGTGACCATGTGGTATCACTGTTGAATGCCGAGGCTGCCCAGCCCCATGGACACTGGTCCACTGTGGTGCTGCCCTTAGCTGGCCTGGGGCCCTGCCCAGGCTCCATGGGCCTCAGTCCCAGGCCCCAAGGTAATCACTTTCCTAGTTCAGAGTTAGACACATTTCCTTAGAGCAACACACCAGCCAGGCCGGCCGGGTACCAGGCTGTCAGAACCACCCATTCATTCTTCTTTTTTTGGTGGCACTGGAGTTTGAACTCAGGACTTCACACTTGCAAAGCAGGTGCTCTACTGCTTAAGCCACACCTCCAGTCCATTTTGCTCTGGTTATTTTGGAGATGGGGTCTTGAGAACTATTTTTCTGGGCTGGCCTTGATCTCAGCATTTCAAGTAGCTGGGATTACAGGCATGAGCCACTGGTGGCAGACTAGAACCACCCTTTCTTCCCAAGCTTCAGCCCAGGCCCCCAGCCTAGACATGTCCTCCCCTGGTGAGTTGCCCTGGGCTTTGAGGAGGGTCTTCTGGGATTACCTGAATGTGACCCCACTGTGTCCTGTCTTGTGGGGCGGGCTGAGGGGCCGGTCTGTCAGAGAACCCTTCACATAGCAGGTCTGGGGCTGCTGGCTTTAGTGAAGCTGTTAGTAGGGCGGCCCTCGTGTGCATCTGGGAACTGGGCCCATAAACAGCATCCGACCATTCTATGAGGCATCCCCTGAGAGATCAGGGTGGCTCACCCCACCTCGTGTTTGTGCAAACTACTTTCCTTCTGGAAGCCTGAAATGTGGGTGCAGTTAGGCACAGGGCTCCCCCAGTGCTCCTCCCCAAACCTGTGGGCTTCTAGGCCCGGGCACATATTACTGACTGACAGCACTTCATCTGTGTGGTTGCCATTTGTTACCGAGGAATTAAGTACCTCTATAAGACTCCCAAACACCTGTGCCTGGCCTCCTGTGCCCAGCCTCCATGCCTGGCCTCTTCTGGACTTCACTGCCATCCTCTTTCCCTTTGCTGGTTTAGCTTTGGCCCAGCTGTGACTATGACTACAAAGAGCTCCACAGCTGAGGGTGGTCTGGGGGACCCCTGGCACAGTGTCCTTTTGCTCCCAGAAGGCCCTGGGTTCCTAATGCAAAGTGGTCCTTCCATATTGGGGGTGTTGTCAGGCTGAGCAGTGTCCACATCCTCGCTGTGTTACTCAGCCTTTCATCACTATGACAAACAACCGAAGCTGGGCGTCAGTGGCTCACTCCTGTAATCCCAGCTACTCGGGAGGCAGAGATCAGGAGGACTATGGTTTGAAGCCAGCCTGGGCAAATCCTTTGAGAGACCCTATCTTGACAAAGCCCATCACAAAAATGGGCGGGTGGAGTGGATTAAGGTGTAGGCCCTGAGTTCAAGTCCAAGTACTGCAAAAAAAAAAAAAAAAAACCTAAGGGAGGAAAGGTTTATTTTGGCTCCTGGTTTTGAAGGAGCCATTGCCTAGGACCTGAGGTGAGGCAGAGCATCGTGGCAGAGAAGCAGAGCTGCTCACCTCATGGCAGGCAGGAAGACGGGGACAGGGATACACCCTTCAAAGGCCCGTCCCCAGCAGCTTCCTCCAGTCAGGCCCCACCTTCTACAGTTCCCAGCCTGTGCAGTTGTGAATCCTTCAAGTGGATGAATCCACTGAGGGGATCGCAGCCCTGGTAGTCCAGTCACTTCTCAGTGATCAGCGAGCACCAGCCTTCAACACCTGAGCCTGTGGAGGGGCTGCTTCACCCTGGCTTGACGTAGAGATGCAAAATCTTTCTAGTGGGGTCATTTTCTTACCAGTACCTTTTTTTTTTTTTTTTTTTGGAGGAATTGGGGTTTGAACTCCGGCCTTTGTGTTTGCGAAGCAAGTGCTCTACTGCTTGAGCCATTCTTGCTCTGGTTACTTTGGAGTTAGGGTCTCAAGAACTGTTTGCCTGGGCTGGCCTCAAACTGCAATCCTTCTAATCTCAGCCTCTTCAGTAGCAAGGATTATAGGCGTGAGCCACCAGCACCCAGCTAGCAATAACGTTTGTGAAAAAGGGACTTTCCTCTGTTTGTCCTGATAAGCTGTGGGCACATTTCTTACTAAAACTGCTTGATCTCTGCCCCTTAGACACACTTTTGCTTTGATATGTTGCTTTGTTCTCATCACGTGCTGTTTTTGTTTGTTTGTTTTTTTTGGTGGCACTGGGGTTTGAACTCAGGGCCTCACGCTTGCCAGGCAGGCGCTCTACCACTTGAGCCACTCCACCAGCCCTGTTTTTGTGATGGGTATTTTCAAGATAGTGTCTCATAAACCATTTTTCCCCCCGAATGGCTTTGAACCTTGATCCTCCTGATCTCTGCCTCCTGAATAGCTGGGATTACAGGCGTGAGCCACTGGCCCCCTTCTTTTTGTCCGTATTTTTACACGTATCACGTATAGTCTTTTAATTTTTTTGTTTGTTTTTGCTGGGGATGGGCCCCAGGGCCTTGTGCATGCTAAGCAAGCCCTCAACCATCAAGCTATCTCCCCAGCCCTTGGTTTTTTGAGACAGGGTCTCCCTGTGTGGCTTAGGCTGGCCTCAAACTCCTGATCCTTCTGCTTCACTCTCCTGAGTGCTGGGCAGGTGGACTGTTTTTTTTTTAATACATAAGTCTTTGGCCACAAATCCTGTTTATTTTCTTAGGAGGGGACCCCTTGAACTAGAATTGTAGAGTGAAAGGGTGTGAGTTTTTAGAAAAGATCTTGAGAGATATTGCTAGATTCTGTAGTCTCCTTGGCCAGCACAGAGGGAGGAAATTATCTGTCTGCTCTCAAGGCGGCCAGGCCCGCCTGGCGCCTGGAACCGCGTGTGCGGGGTGTTCCCTGAGTCCTGCGGGGGTCTGGTGCTGGAAAGCGCTTTTGCTCTTTGGAGCGCGTGAGAGCTGAAGGACAGGGGGCTGCTAGTGACCTGGGCAAACACGGCGGTGACCGCTCTCTCTCCTCTCTCTCCACTGACTTGAGGATGCTCTGGATGGATCTGTGATTCGAGATTTCCAGCAACGGCCCAGCGCTCCTGTTTTAGAGTGCAGTGTCACGGCCGACAGCAGAAGGTGACGGGTCCTCTTTTTATACAGTGGTCAGGAAAAGCGAGGGTCAGCAGGGAGGCCAGTGGACAGGCATGACAGTGACAGGTGGTTTTTTTTTTTTTTTTTGTGGTACTGAGGTTTGAACTCAGGGCCTCCACCTTGAGCCACTCCACCAACTCTTTTTTGTGAAGGGATTTTCGAGATAGGGTCTAACGAACTATTTTCCTGGGGCTGGCTTTGAACACGATCCTCCTGATCTCTGCCTCCTGAGTAGCTGGGATTACAGGCGTGAGCCACCGGCGCCTGGCTCAGGCTCTTTGTTTTTAGAGGGATCCCAGCAGTTTCCAGTGGGGCTTATGAGGCATCTTGAAATAAAAGAATATTCTTTTATTTATTTATAGATAATATTCTTTTATTTATCTTGAAATAAAAGAATATTATTTGCCATCTTGACCCAAAAGTATAAAAAAGAAGAAAGAGTCCTCACAGGAATGGCAGGCCTACTTGTCTCTGTCATTAAGACCCAGTGTGTGTCATTTCATTTCCAGAATTGTTGCTTCATCCTATGACAAGTCAGTGAGGGCTTGGGACGTTGAGACTGGCAAGCTGCTGGTAGGTGTGCCCTGCCCCGGTGTCCTGACTGGGTCTGGCAGCTTTGGGCTGGACCCTGGGTTGGGGAAGATGACAAAAGCTCCCGTCTTCCAGGAAAAGAAAGTGTCCCCAGGGACCAAGCTGCAGCCCACACAGCACCCTGCAGTACTGGGCACTGAGTACTTTAGAGCACGGCTCTGGTGAGGGAAGCTTCTTCTGCTGGAAAGACGGAGGGAGGGTTGGATGGACAGGAAGAAGCTGGGGGGAGGCTGGGCATAGCATCCCGGGCTCCCCTGTGGGCCGTTTGGAGTGAATTAGTCAGGAAGTAGAGCTGAGGCCACCAGACAAAAGCCGTGTGGCCAAAGGGCCAGGGCTTTGGGCCTCTCCCAGTCTGTTCTCTGCCTGTCTTGCATGGGGCCACTGTCCTCCCATCCGGACAGTCTGGGGTTCCTCCCTCTCGTGTGCCACACCCGGCAGCCTCTACCCCACTCAGGAGCCTCCAACTGCCCTCCGGTGCCCACCCTGCCCACTTCCCCGCAGGGCACGTGACTCTTGTCACATCCTCGTTTCTTCTCGTTTCCTTTCCTTAAACACCAACCGTTCTGAGTGCCAGCCTGCACTCCTGGCACTCTGGAAGCGGAGGTAGGAGGATTGCGAGGTGAGGCCGGCCGGGCCGACAGAGTGAGACCCTCCAATCGGAGGTTAAAGTTGACAACTTGGTGTCTTTTTTCCCATACGTTTGCTTTGAGCGCAAGCAAGGCTGTTTAATTAATAAACATAGTGTCATTATGCACTTACTTCCTGAGCCCGACCCCCCGCCCCACCTCTACTGGAGGATTGCAGTTCAAAGCCAGCCCAGGGAAATAGTTCCAGAGACTCCATCTTGAAAAAACCCAACACACACCAGGGCTGGTGGAGTGGCTCAAGTGGTAGCAAGTGAGGGGCCCTGAGTTCAAACCCCAGTGCTGCCAAAAAAAAAAAATAATAATATAATAAAGTTTTAGAGTCTTTGCTCCTAGTTCCTGTGTGGGGAACAGGAAATGTTTCTTTCTCTCCCCCTCCCCTTGTCTATATTTCATCCTGAGGAGCTGGGATTACAGGCGTGAGCCATGGCACCTGGCTCTATGATTTCTTTTATAATCTAGTCCCTTCTGCCATCTTATAATTTTAGGAGTGAGTCACCAAGTCCATCCACATTCAGGGGAGATCCATGAGGCTGTACCTGTTGGAAAGAGGACAGATTTTAAAGCTGTCACAGTAGCAGCACCGTCATTTGTGACATCCAGAAAGAGTCTGTTTTCCTAGATTGTTGAGCAGTGCATTGTCCCCTTCTTGTGCCCAGGGGACTGAGGGGCTTTTGTGTCTTGTCTGTGGTGCCATGAGCAGGGCAGTCATTCAGTCAACACTTGTTTCCCTGACTGCACAGATATGAAGTTAGCCCTTGATACAAGCTTCCTGCCTCTTTTCTAGGCGATCTTACTGTCTGTGGTCCTCTGTCCTGGACACAGAGCAATTCATTGCCTTGCTTAATTTAATTCATTAAATTAAACTAACTTGACGCGTCAGGTCCCTCTTCACACGGCTAGCCCCTTCAAAGTTTGTGGACATGCATGGCTCAGAGCCACCATGTTTGATGGCGCCTTTGCATCACTGTAGCCGGCAGGCCAGAGAAAACAAACTTCTCCTTGTCTGTCGCCCCCTTTCAGTGGAAGGTCAGGCACAATACTTTTATCGTGTCCTGCAAGTTCTCCCCCGACGGCAAATATGTGGCTTTAGCCCTGGATCTGGATCGTGCACTCTGCATAATGGACTCAAAAGACGTCAGGTCTGTGATCCGCGTCAAAGGTGAGGTTGCCTGGGCTCCCTGCTCGCTCTAGCTGCCGTGCGGTGGCCCCCATGGGTGTCACCTCACTGGGAGGGGCTTTCAGTTGCTCTGTGGTGTGAAACTGCCACGGTAAGAATCGCATGAGAGCTGAGACCCTGATGGAGAAAAGCAAAGAGTTAATCCAAGGCTGTTCCTCTTTGGTTAATGCTGTTCCCTTCGGTCTTGTGCTTGTAGCAAATGAAGAAATGTTCTTCCTCTCCTTTTTTTTTTTTTTTTTTTTTGGTGGCACTGGGCTTTGAACCCAGGGCTTCAGGCTTGCTAGGCAGACACTCTCCCCTTGAGTCACTCCACCAACTGAGATAGTGTTCTGCTGCAACTTGTCGTGGACACTGAAGGCCGAAGCTTTTATTGAGTGGAGGCTCAGCCTTCGTCACATTTCTACCTGCATCTTGAAAAGAGCAAAAGAATAGTCACCATATGTTATGTCAGTGTCCTGGTTGTGACACTGTGCTGTCATGAGGCCAGATGTAACCATGGGGAGGAGGCGGGGACACTGGAGGACCTGCAGGATTTCTCAGAGTTATTCAATGTATTTGTGTGCAAGTTTGCAGTTATCTCAAAATAAAGAATTTAGAAAGATGTCATAATTGTAAAAAGAAAAAAATTCAGTATGTCAAGGAAAATGTAGACGGTGGCTATTCCTGTCTAGTCTTCTCCCAAGAAGTAACTCCTATTACTACTTGGGGGATTGGGCAACGGGGATGAACTCAGCCCCTCAGGCGCACCAGGCAACCAGTCCATCTGCTCTGAGCTCCACCCCCAGCCCAAAGGTATTTATCTTTTTTTTCTGATGGGACTGGGGTTTGAACTCAGGGCTTCACACTTGCAAAGCAGGTGCTCTACCGCTTGAGCCACACCTCCAGCCCTTTTTTGTGAAGGGTGTTTTTCAAGATAGGGTCTTGTAAAAACTCTTTGCCCAGGCTGGACTCGAACCTCCACCCTCCAAGTACATGGAATAACAGGTGAGAGCCACTGGCAGCTGGCAAGGTGTTTATTGGTATTTACTGTTAACCATGCATTGCTGGAGGGCTTCCTGAACTCTGTGTTGTGTGTCCACCCTCAGGTCTTTCAACATGTGACGCCCCATAGCTCACATTTCTCTCTCTCTCTCTCTCTCTCTCTCTCGTTTTTTGTTTTTTTGATACTGGGGTTTGAACTCCAGGCCTACACCTGGACTCACTCCACCACTCCACCAGCCCTTTTTTTTTTTTTTTTTTTTGATGAGTGTTTTCGAGAGATTCTCTCCAACTATTTGCCCAGACCGGCTTTGAACCGCGATCCTCCTGATCACTGCCTCCTGAGTAGCTGGGATTACAGGCGTGATGCGGAGCTTTGCACGTGTTTTTTGGGGGTAAGGAATAGGTGAGCTGAGTCCACCAAAGTCTGACACCCAGTGGGCCCTCAGGAAATGTTTGTGCAGTGATCACAAATCACATTACATCTCCACGATGCCCCTGGCTGGGGGAGTCGTGTGCGTTCCTGTGGGGCTCTCGGAGTCACCGTCCCCTATCTGTGTGCAGATCATCACAGGAAATCCATCATGGCTTGCTCCTTTGACCCCGACAGCCAGAAGGTGGCTTCAGTCTCTTTGGACGGAAGTATCAAGATCTGGGATGTCACATCGCAGGCCACTCTGCTCAGCATCAAGAAGTGAGGAGCGTCCTGGGTGGCGGGCAGCAGCCTGCAGCGGGGAGGTGGGCAAGGTCTCCCTTCACACCCTCGCCATTCCCTGTGCAAACCAGAGTCTACGTGGAGGCGTCCAGTGCGGTCATGGTTGCTGCAGTGAGGCTGGGGACAGGCAGGCCAGGGAGAAGCCACCCACTGTGGCCCGCGCCCTGGGCAGGGCTGGGTCTCAGATGCATTTGTTCCCACGTGAGCCAACACTGGACACCATTGTGCCGAACACCCGGAAAAATGTCGACTTCAGCATCTCCTCCAGAACGGGAAGACCTGCTGTGTTATGGTGGCTCACGCCTGTAATCCCAGCTACTCAGGAGGCAGAGATCAGGAGGATCACGGTTCAAAGCCAGCCCAGGGCAATAGTTCACGAGACCCTATCTCAGAAAAAACCCTTCACAAAAAAGGGCTGGTGGAGTGGCTCACGGTGTAGGCCCTGAGTTCAAACTCCAGTACCTACAAAATAAAGAAAGAAAGGACGAAAACGAATGGAAAGACCTGACAATGTACGGCTGCGAGGCTTACCTTGCAGGTGGCCGGGCCAGAGGCCGTCACTGCAGCAGGGTTTGGAGTTGGGGTGGCAGACTGTGCCTGCACCTGTTGCCCTGCCCACTCTGCTCAGAAGCTCCTACCTGGACCAGCTCCATGGCGGTCTGGCCAGGTGTTCGAGGGCCTGCCTTCCGTCCTGGGTAACCTGGAGCCTCTGCAGGATGACCCAGGAGGGGGGTCCCGTGCACAGTGCTGGCCGCACGGTGGATCACCAGCGTGTGCCTTGTTACTTAGAGTGCCACGCAGGGAAGAGTGGGTGAGGGCAGCAGAGGGGACAGAGCACCACCTGAAGGCGAGTGTCCACTTTGTTCAGTCACCCAACTGTGCACTGTGACGGGAAAGAAAAATGTCTATTGGTCATTTTCATTTACCTTAAATTTGTGATCTTTAGAAATGTGGCTTTTAGCAAAGAGACACAGAGATGAGGAGTCTCAGAGTCACAGGACAGGGCTGGCGTCACGGTGTGTGACCTCAGAGGTCAGACAGGGGCCACACTCACAGAGGCCCTCGTGTGATTTCATGCCCTGCTGTTGACATCTTTAAATTCTTATGATTTTAAAAATGCTTGGTGGTACTGGGATTTGAACTCAGGCCCTTCTGTTGGCTATGCAGACCCTCAACCACAGACCCTCAACCACTTGAACCACTTTTTCCTTTGTTGGTTTATCTCATTTATTGGCAGCACTGGGGTTTGAACCCAGGAGCTCACGCTTGCTAGACAGGTATTCTTACCACCTGAGCCACTCCACCAGCCCATTTTGTGTTAAGTTTTTTCGAGCTAGGATCTTGTGCACTATTTGCCTGGACTGGGCTGGAAATGAGATCCTTCTGATCTCTGCCTCCTGAGTAGCGGGGATTACAGGCGTGAGCACCAGTGCCCAGCTGCTTTAGTTATTTTCCAGATAGGGTCTGGCATTTATGCCCGGGCCAGCCTCAGCCCTACACCTCCTAATTAGAGATTTGTGCCACCACATCAGCCTCTTTGGGATTTCTGAACAAGAGACTTTCTTTTTTAAATTTCAAAACTGTGTAATTTAATTCTATGACATTGTAAAACAGGCATCTCAGCACCAAGGTTAGAAGGTATGAAAGGATGTTTTATAATCCCAGCTGCTCAGGAAGCAGCGATCAGGAGGATCGTGGTTCAAGGCCAGCGCAGGCAAATAGTTCACAAGACCCTATCTCGAAAAAACCCAACACAAAACAGAGGCTGGTGGAGTGGCTCAAGGTGAAGGCCCTGAGTTTAAATCCCAGTATTGCAAAAAGAAAAGCTCCAGCACAAAGAACAAAGTGCTCAAATCAGCATGCTGGCTGATAAATCCAGAGCTGGCGTGGCACGGTGTGAGCAGTGCACACCTGGGCCGTGGCAGGCAGTGGTCAAAGGAATGGTGTCCCTCTGTACCCCTGCCCTCTAGGTGGGCTCTTGGGTCCTCCCAGAGCCACCCAGGGCTGATGCGTCCGCCCATCTGTGTTTCAGGGCACACGCCAATGCAATCTCAAACTGCTGTTTTACCTTCAGCGGCCACTTCCTCTGTACCAGCTCCTGGGATAAAACCTTGAAAATATGGAACATCCACTCGGGGGAGCTCCGCAACCGCGGAGCCTGTGTGACTCTGGTGCAGGGCCACGCGGGCTCCGTGAGCACCTGCCACGTCTCCAGGGACAGTGAGTACGCGAGAAGGACTCTGTTTGCTGGGCGGAGTCCTCGCCATCTGTTCCAATCTGCTTCCTGACACAGATGGAGAGGTGTTTGTCGGGATTCCAGCAGTGGGATCGGTTTTGGTTTTGTTTTGGTTTAATCCATGGGGATGAAAAATCCAAGAGGGAACTTCTCAGGCACAAATTATTTACAAATGGCCGAAGATCAGCTCCACGTGGCCTAAGCAACAAAAGAAAGTAACCTGTCATGGAAAAGGGCAGCAGCAGCTGTGACGTCAGGCATGGCTGGAACCAGAGACTCAAAGGCAGCCAGGGACCCAGCCCTTCCCTGCCTCTCACACTTTTCTCTTGTGTTGGTCCTTCCCCTCTAGGAGGCAAAGATGGCTGCTGGCAGGTCCAGGCCAACTGGCTCTGGCCATCCTGGAAGAGCAGAGACCCTTTGTCTGATCACGCTGGCATAAATCCCAGGGAAGACTCCCATTGGCTCAGCTTGGGCTACAGGCCCACTTCTGAGCCAATCATTTTGCAGGGGATGAAGGCCTCTGATTGGCCAGGCCCAGATGACTTGTCCACCCGTAGAGCTAGACACGCTAGACACTGGGGCCAGTGCTGTCTGAACCAGAGGGATGGAGGGAAGGACAGGGGTGTTTTCCCCTAGGAAACTGGGGACTGTTGTCAGGTGACGGGTAAGGACGTGCAGGGGGACAGTGACAGGAAGCTGTCATGGATGAGGCGGGAAGGGGCAGTCCCAGATATCCAGAAGCCACATGTGTTCCCCCAACCCCATAGGTGCTAGTGAGAGGTGAGGCTTGTCCTGTGTGTCTAGGGGCGGGGGTGGCCCAGGCGCTACACAGGGCCTGACTTCAGAACTGCTGAGGTGTTTCTGAACAACCGGCCCCAGCAGAGGTGTCCCGTGTCTAAGTCAGACGTCCTGCCTTGGCTTTACTGGGATCAAGGTCACAGGCCGTCCGTCATGATTACTGCAAATGCACCTGTTTCTAGAACTTATTTCTAACCCTAGCGTCAGTACTCACGGCCCTTTGGAGGCCACTCGCAGATGTGTGCAAAGCATATGTGCACGTGCCTGGCTGAGTGTGAACAAGGTGATGCTCTGCCTTCTTGTCTCAGTCCCCCTCACTGCCCCTTACTTTTTTTGGGGGGTGCTACTGGAGTTTGAACTCAGGGCCTTGTGCCTGCCAGGCAGAAGCTCAACCACTTAGGCTGTACTCCAGCCCTTTTTGATTTAGCTATTTTCAGATAGGGTCTTGAGTCTTTGCCCAGGGCTAGCCTCGGACTGTGATCCTCTTACCTGTGCCTCCTAGTAGCTGGGATTCTAGGCATGAATCACCACACCCAGCTAAGGTCCTGTGATGATCTAGATAGTGTCACTTTTTTGTGCTTTTTATTGGTAACTTTGCTGCTTAAAATGTTCCCCCAGCCCCGTGCTGAAGTAGCGTTTAGCACTAAGAATAAGAGCGCTGTGGTGTGTCTCACGGAGAAAATCCTGGGTGTACAGTCAATGCCAGCCCATCAGCCGTACACGTTAAATCAGGTGTCTTTGGATAGAAAACACCGGTAAAGCAAGGTCACGTTCACTGACCAAGTGGTGAAATGCGACCAGGGGTTTGCACGAACCTCACCCTCCTCTTCCTAGCGGCAGTGCTTGGGTGGCTGCAGTAACACTGTGGAACGTAACCACGGTGAGGGACAAGACTCGGTGACAATTGCTGGGGTCACTGGACACCCAGGAAGGGGTTTCAGCGCAGTCAGAGTGAGCCACGATCGAGCCGATCAAATGCACGGCAACTGACCCTGCTGCGGCCACACCAGAGGACCCGCCTGGCCAGGAGGCTGACCCCAGCATGGCGACTCTTTCACTTTGTCTCCCAGGCTCTCTTCTCATTTCTGGAGGCCTCGACAAGACGGTGGCTATCTGGGACGTCGGAGAAGGCTACCGGAAGCTATCCCTGAAGGTACAAAAGCCACCATCCCCTGGTGGGCCCTGAGTGGCCTTTTCTAGAACAGAGTGCAAAAGAAAACCTGGGACCTCATGAGAAAGGGATCTCTATTTCCTTCCATCCTCCTAAACCCCAGAGTATTATTTTTTTCTTTTGGTGGCACAGGGCTTTGAACTCAGGGCCTCACACTTACTAGGCAGGCGCTCTACCACCTGAGCCACTCTGCCAGCCCCCAAAGTATTATTTTTAAAAAGCATATAATGTCTGTACTGTGTACGCGATCCACCTGGCTCTTGAATTTGTATTTTAACCCAGTGTTGACAAAATCAGCATGGAATTAGTAAGCACCACTGCGTTCCTGACCGTGCTCCCTGCGGTGGTGTTTTTATAAAGGCATCGTCTCCAGGTCCTTGCTAAGATTTGATTTTCCTTCAGGGTCATGATGACTGGGTGACTGACGTTGCTATCAGCAACAACAAGAAATGGATCCTGTCTGCTTCCAAGGTAAAAGTGGCCAGGCTTGGAGTGACTTCCCATGTCTATTGCGTTTGTCAAGGGGTGACAGCAGAAGTGTGGTTCCCAGGTATAAAATTCCTAGACAGGGTGAGCATCAAAGTGCATGCCTGTAATCTTAGCAAATCAGGAGACTGAGGTATGACGAGGGTGAGTTCAAACCTGCTTGGGCCACATAGCAAGACCTTTCTTCAAAGAATAAAAAGAAAATAATTGCTGGGTGCCAGTGGCTCACACCTGTAATCCTAGCAACTCAGGAGACTGAGGTAGGAGGATGGTGAGTTCAAGGTCAGCCTGGGCTACATAGCAAGTTCAAGCCTGGGCTACAGAGTAAGACCTTTTCTCAAAAAAGAAAAAGAAAAAGAAAACAATTCCTGGGTGCCAGTGGCTCACGCCTGTAATCCCAGCTACTCAGGAGGCAATCAGGAGGATTGAGGTTTGAAGCCAGCTGGGCAAAAGTTCCTGAGACCCCATCTCAAAAACACCCAACACAAAACAGGGCTGGCGGCGTGGCTCAAGTGGGAGAGCGCCTGCTAGGAAGTGTGAGGCCCTGCAGACAGCTTGGGGGCAGGTGCCAGCTCGGGGTGCACATTAGAGATCAGAGGTCCAGGTGGGTGTCCCTCTGTCTGCACCAGTGCATCTTGGGATTCCCGTTCTGTTGGTGCGTAATAGCTAGGCTCTCCTCCACATGGGAGGGTCAGAGAAGTCGGGGCCTGGCCTGCCTCCCACCCAGGTCTAGAGACTCTGGGGGGACTCTTTGTAACATTAGCAGCATTTTAGAGACCGGCCTGTGGTACAGGTGAACCAGACTGACACCACGATATGACACGTGACAAAAATGATACACTTGCATGTTATTGCTTTGATATAAAAACAGAAAAAATGACTTTATTTGACATTATATGTTATTCTGTAGTTTTTCCTTTTCTGTTACATGAAGGCTATTTAAAAACATTATCATTATACTGTACTGGGGGAGCATTGTGACATTTACAGAAGTTCTTGCAATGTATCATAGTTGAATTCACCCCCCCACCATTCTCCTTTATCCCCATTCCTGGAATAGTTTCAGCAGGTCTCATTTTTCCATTTTCATTCATGAGTGCATAATATTCCACCAGATTCACCCCCCACACCCTTTCCTTATATCCTCCCATTTCCCACTGGTGCCAACCCCCAGACAGGGCCTGTTTTACCTTCCTGGTCTCCATTTTTGAACAAAAGGCATTTTTATTTGTTTAAGATAGCCACACAGGAGTTCCTTGTGACATTTCCATGTATCTATGTATTACAACCCGAATTGGTCCATCCCCTCTATTTTTCTCCTTTCTTTCACATGGATCCTGTTAATTTAAACACCCCCACAACAAGACTCGCCAACAGTGGCAATCGGAAATAGTTTACGGCAGGCCATTTAAATAAGTATGTCTAAAATATCGGAATAGTTTATAATATTTCTTCCTGTCCTCTGTTGGGACTGGGGTGTAGCTCAGTGGCAGAGCACTTGCTTACTATGCACGAGGCCTGGGGTTCAATCCCCAGCATTGTTGTACTGTGGGGCGCAGAGTAGAAGAAGCCTAGAGAACCTGACGTAAGCACGGTTGTGCTCAGTGATCTACAGGCTGAGTCTGGCACAGCCCCAGCCACAGAAGAGAGCGAGAGGCAGAATGCAGCACAACTGCTTTTCCTAAGTCGTTTACCTTCAGAGAAAGAAGCAGGAACGCAGGTTTCTCTTGTCACAATGTCACTCCCCTCCTGGAGAGCTGCTTCTCCACCTCCTTGTTTACCACTGGGTATAAAAGACTTGCTGGAGGAGGACGGGGGATGTTGACTGAAGGATTGATGGAGGATTGGGATTCTGATTGGCTGGCTGTGGGCTGCTGGTGAGGCTGCCACCGACGCTGACGCTGCTGGCTGCTGTGACTCCACCCGAGCTTTCTGCACGAGAACTTTATACACAGGCTTTAGAAAAGCTAAGAGAACACGGGACAGAGCGAGTCTGAGGAAAGAGACTTTAAAGAATAGAAAAGAAACGAGGTTTTAAGGAATAGTAAGGAAGTAAGGCCTTAAAGAATAGAGAAGAAAAGAAGCAAATGAAAGAGCAGTCAACAGAGAAAAGAAGCAAGGAGGCTGCTGTGCGTCTCCATCCGAGCCCAGCACACCTGGCCCCAGCTTTGTTTCTATCTTTTGTCCTTTCTCCATCTCCAGTCGCCCCCACTTCGGTTAGGTCAGGAGGAATGGGAGCTTGAGGAAGCTCTTGAGATTGTCTATCTAAATTTTGTAGCGTTATGGAAATACATAGATCAGTAGGACTAATTAGACAGATTCTACTTATGTTAAACTTTTTTAAAAACACTGGGCTGGGCGTGTTGGTGCAGGCCTGTAATCCCCGCACTGGGGAGGCTGAGGCAGAAGAATTCTGAGGTCAAGACCAGCCTGGGCTATATAGGGAGACACTTTCCCCCCAAAAAACAAAAAACAAGCTGGGTGCCAGTGGCTCACACCTGTGATCCCAGCTACTCAGGAGGCAGAGATCAGGAGGATCGAGGTTCGAAGGCAGTGCAGGGAAATAGTTCATGAGACCCCATCTCAAAAAACCCATCACAAAACAGGGCTGGTGGAGTGGCTCAAAGTGCAGACCCTGAGTTCAAACCCCTGTACCGCACAAAAAAAATAGTGATAATTACATGATATACTTTTTATCACAATTTTTAAAAAACCAAGGACATGTTTCTTTCTGGTCATCACACAGGAAGGTCTTCTGTTTCCATTCTGGTAGTAGTCCTGAGAGCCACCTGCAGCCTTTGGGACACCCTCTCTGCTCTTACCAAGCCAGTGTCACACCCATCCCTCGTGTCAGCCCGTGTGTGACGGACACCACACTGACCATCCTGTCCACAAAAGCATGAGTACACTTATACGCTTACTATGGGTGCAGGTTTTAGGGTTTTCTTGGCAGTACTGAGGCTTGAACTCAGGACCTCACACTTCCTAGGCAGGCGCTTTGCCACTTGAGGCACTCTCTCAGCCCTGGTCTGGAGCTCTGGATCCTCCTACCTCTGCCTCCTTGATGCTGGGATTATTGGCATGCACCACCCTGTCCCATTTGGTTTTCGAGATAGGGTCTCTTGAACTATTTGCCAGGGCTGGCTTCGAACCGCGACCCTTGTGATCTCTGCCTCCTGAGTAGCTGGGATTACAGACGTGAGCCACAGCACTTGGCTGACTTTTTACTGTGTCTCTAGTTTTCCTTTTCCAGAACATCATCTAGGTGGAATGGCACTGTCTGCAGCCTTTTCGGATGGGCTTCCCTTGCTCGACAGCATGCACTCGAGGTTCCTCCGTGTCGTTCTGTGGCTAGGCAGCACAGTTCTCTTGGTCGTCTGACCGCGCACTGTGAGGCTGTACCACTGCCTCATTCGTGACTTGGTTTACTGTTTTTAACCTGCTTCAGGACAAGACCATGAGACTCTGGAACATTGAGGAAATTGACCAAATTCCCTTGGTAAAGGAGAACAAGAAGGCCAGGGGCTTCAAGGTCAAACAGGTTGGTCTTCACCAAGCCCAGTGAAGACTTTCATTAATCCCCTCTAAGTTATCCTTAGAACCGTGAACTAACACCATGAAATTCTGACACCTTACGAGCAAGGTATAAGGGTGCAAGAAACATTACGTACTGGGCTGGTGGAGTGGCTCAAGCAGTAAGAGCACCTGCCTAGCAAGTTGTGAGGTCCTGAGTTCAAACCCTAGTGCTGCCAAGAAAGAAAAAGAAAAGAAAAACAAAAGCATGTAGCCTGGCACCAGTGGCTCATGCCTGTAATCCCAGCTACTCAGGAGGCACAGATCAGGAGGATCACGGTTCGAAGCCAGCCCAGGCAAATGGTTCAAGAAACGCTGTCTCAAAAACACCCACCGAATAGGGCTGGTGGAGCGGCTCAAGGTGTAGGCCCTGAGTTCAAACCCCAGTACTGCAAAATTAAAACCAAAAAGCATGTAGTAAGTCACGTGGTGAGCAGTAATTGGGAGAAAAACCAGAGGAAAGAGAAAGGGCAGTGCTGGGGTGGTCTTTATTATTTATTTAGGGTGATTGGGAGGGATCGCAGGGCTTTGTGCGTGCTAGGCAGGCGCTCACTGCTGAGCTGCACTCCAGCCCCTATGGCAGTTTCAAGGTGAGTCAGGATAGGTGTCATGGAGGTGGCACGGTGAGGTAAGGGGGAGCTGTGCAGTGCTCAGGTGAACTTCCTACCAGGGGAAGGAACAGCAGGTGCAGGGCGAGGCAGGTGAGCTTGCTGGTGCCTGAGGAGTGGAGTGAGCGAGGTGTGGAGGAGACGAGGTCGAGGCAGCAGTGGCAGGTGTGGCTGACTTTGACACCCAGCCGCACACCCCTGGCTTGGACCCGCGCCGTTTCGGCTCAGGAGCCCATTTCTCCAGGCTCATGTGGCATGGCCAGCCGCAGAGGCCACCAAGCTCTCAGAGGGGCTGGCTGGGAGCCACTACTTCCGGAGCAAAAACTTAGGCAGTGCTGCAGAACAGGGAGGGGACGGTGGGACCCACATGGACCTTGGCTTCATGGCCAGCTGGTCCTCCCGGCCTTCTTGACCTTGTTAGTCCTCACACCGTGTCCTCTGCCTGCCAAAGGGCAGGCCCAGGAGCTGCCTCCTTTGTGAGCGTTGCTGCTCTGGGGTGGACGGTGGGAAACTCAGAGGTAGGTGGCCAAAAGATCTGATCACCTTCTTGTAAAAGAGAGAAGAGAGCGAGAGACTTAGATGAGGCCACCATATCTCCTCAGTCGCACGGTTCTGCCCTGCACAGGGCTGGACATCAATTCCTGACCTCCCTGCCACCAAGTGGCAGCCCTCACAACAGCCTTCAGTACCTGCTTAGGTCTGAGGGGACAGGGAGCAAAGCCCGTGCTCATTCTCGTGTTGGGGGCCCGCCATGAGCTCCGGGCAGAGGAGGGCTAGAGGCGCAGGGGGGCCCAGCCAAGGTAGCTGCAGGGGGAGCTGCACCCTCACATCTGATCCTTCTGACCTGCTGTATGACGATATTTCACACCAGTGCAAAGGATGTGACAGGCCTTTCTCCATCCATGAAGGCGATGACCCTTCTGAAGTCACCAAATGCGTGTTCTGCAGGACGGATGAGCGCAACCAACAGGCAGAGGCCTCGTCCTCGGGAGAGGAGAGCAAGGACGCATGATGGCCGCCGGGCCCCGCAGGGACCCTTCTGCAGTGAGACGGCCTGTTGGACCGTGGCTGGGCTCTGTGCGCAGTGCCGCTGTCTCAGCCCCTCTCCCACGGGGTGAATGCTTAGTTTTAGCTTTCATGAAGAATAAAGCCAGATTCCTCTGGAAAACGGGCGTTTTGCTAGGTGTTTAAGCTGTGCGTCTGGCTGCTCACCCCATGTCGGTGGAGTTGCCCGAGGAGGACCTGGGCTGCCACTGGCACTTTCTAAGGACAGGTCTGCCAAATGACTATGAAGAAGCCTGGGGTTCCCCTGGGCGCAAGGATGGCTTGGCTATGGCTTGTCCCCCAGGTTCATGGACTGGAAACTTGGTCCCCTGTGTAACACTGAGAGGTGGCGTGGTGCAAGAGGAAGTCATGGGGGGGCCACCCTTCTCTTGGGAGTGGGTTAGCAGACTTATAAGGTAAGACCACCCTAGGCGTTTGGTTTCTTCTCTACCTGCTGCTGGCTGTTCTCACATGTGCACCCTGCCTGTTAAGATAGCATGTGGCCACCTGGTCTTGAATTCCCCTGCGTCCAGATCTATGAGCATAATAAACCTCCTTCCTTGATAAAGTACCCAGCCGCAAGGACTTTGTTACGGCAACACAAACCCTAACCCTAACCCTAACACTGCTAGTGCTCCTGGGTGGCCACCTGTCAGAGCAGAGCAAGGTCTGCTGACAAGTGGGTGGTGGCATTTCCATCACAGGGTGTCCCTTCACCCAACCCAATTCCCTGAAGACCCATGCGGGTGTGCAGCCAGGTGTCCTCCCGATTCCGCAGCGCGCCACACAACAGAACATCCATCCAGAGAGGGAAACACGCAGGGCCTCCTGTCCCACCTGGGGCGGCTCCCGTCATCTTTGCGGATCATTTTAGAGACCCGATTGCAGCACTGACTGACGCAGTGTTGACTGATGGGCCGTGCGCAGCACTCACAGCTGCACCTGGGGATCGTGCAGGTGCAGGTCCCATGCTGGGCGCCATCCCATGCTGGGGGCAGCAGCTCAGCATGATCCACTCATGCACAATGCACGTCAAAGCTGCCCCTGGCCTTCCCAGCTGGGGCCGAGGCCTCAGCACACCTGGAGACCCCACAGGTGCACGTAAAGGCCGGCTGGGCTGCACACGTGACCTCGGTGTCCCTGCGGAGCGACCACAAATCATGCATTTGCTTTTGCACGGACCTGGCTTCTGCAGGGTCTCCCGCTGGAGTAACGGTGGGCCAGGCCTCAGCAGCGCCGGGGCGCAGTGGCTGTCGTGCCAGTATGGGAACCCTGGTGTGTGTGGGGTGCAAAGTGGGGGAACCCCGGGTGGGAACGGCCTGGTCCTACGCCGGCACGGACACCTCCCTCCACCTGGCGCCCCTGACTCTCCCCCTGGGCAGACAGACGCGCCCCTCCTTCCCCCAAGCCCGTACCCCCAGCAGCCAACGACCGACGGACGGCGCGCCTCCCTACGTCACTTCCTGTGCGAACAACCACTCCAGTATTAGCGGAAGACGCAGTCGCTATTGTGACGGAGAAGCCAGGCCCCGCCCATCACGTGCCAGCAGACTTCCTGTCTTTGCGTCCCGCCCTCGAGCTTCCGGCGCACAGTCGAAATCCCACACTGCGCATGCACTAGCTGCTAAGCACAGGAGTAGCTCCGCGCATGCGTTTGCATCATGCACTAACTAGAGATGGGGAAGAGTTTCGCAGGCCACGTACGCGGGCGGCGCCGTGGCTTAGTTGGTTAAAGCGCCTGTCTAGTAAACAGGAGATCCTGGGTTCGAATCCCAGCGGTGCCTCAGCCGAGCAGTAGTGCTGTCGTTGCCCTTTTGCGTTTTTCTTCATGTTGGTCTGTACACAGCCGCAACTACCGGTCACTTTAGGGGTGTGAGGGAGCCCAAGAGGTCATTTTAGCTCGGTCCCTGCCGGGGCGGGGCTGGCCTGGCATGTCACTGCGCAGTCACCGCCGAAGTCTCCGCAGTTTTCCATGGCGTGGGGTCGCCCCGAAGCGGCCATCGGGGTGGGTCCCACGGGGCCGAGTCTAGCCAGGCCTTCCAGGGGCGACTTCTCTCTGTCCTGTCGCACGAGCCGCCGCCGTGCAGACCGGAGACAGGGGGTCAAGTCAAGGGTGCCCCGCGGGCCACGCGTTCGAGTCCCCCGTGTGGCTGCCGGATGTGACCACCCCCTGGACAGAGGATCTGACCGAGCTCAGGTCAGGGCGCAGCTAGGGGTGAACCCCAAGGGCTGGCTGGGGCTCAGGAGCTTTAAAAACTTCCCAGGATTCACACAGGCCAAGCCCAACAGGACAGGCCCAGGGAGCCCCGGAAATCAAGCTGAAGTTGGTTTTTTTAATCTGATTTTTTAACCCCCTCTTTTTTTTTTCCTTTATTGTTGTGCTGGGTGGGGGTTCTTACAATGTATCAAATGTCATTCCTGAATTCACCTCCCCACCATTCTCCTTCATTCCCCTCCCTCTTGAAACCCAAGTTTTGGATCCAAGGGTCAAACTCCTGAGATTCCATATGGCAGGTCCGGCCACCTGCCCCGAAACACCAAATCAAGAGGCATGGAGAAGGCAGGGAAAGGAGGCTCAGGACACACCGTGGGAAGAGGCAGAGCGGGCACTCAGCCATCTCCAGCCATCTTCAGGGTCCAGACATGAGCTGTGGATTTAAGTAGGCAGAGAACTGGGGACAGGGACACAGGCACACTTGTTAAACAGTCCCAGTCACAGGTGAGGTCTGGTTGGTCATTGTCTCAGTCGTTTTTCTGAGAGGTCTGGAGTTGTAATCCAGAGTCATTGTCACCTGGCAGGTGGTCCATCCTGAGGAGGCTCTGCTGTTGGGGGTAGTTTGTCCCTTGTCACGAAGATGTTATCAGTTCTGTGTCTGGAATCCAAGGTGACTGCAGAGAGAATGACGGCTCAGAGCAAAGACAGATGCAAAATGGAGGCAGGGAGGCCAGGCTTCTCCTGCTCTTAGTTAATTTTGGGCCCAAGTGAGGAGTCAGTGCTGCTCAGCAAAAGCAGCTTGAGCGCTCTTATAATCCCCGACATGTTCCCAAGGATCCTCCACCTCGAAAGTGAGGTTTCGACCCAAACCCATCCTCAGCTTAAAGCATCTTGAGTTGAGAATAAAGGTGGACGCTGGTGGCTCCCACCTGCAATCCCAGCTACTCAGGAGAGATCAGGAGGACCTCGGTTCAAAGCCAGCCAGGACAAATAGTTCTGCAGACCCTGTCTCGAAAAAACCCTTCACAAAACAGGGTTGGTGGAATGGCTCAAGGTGTAGGATCGGAGTTCAAAGCTCCCCCCCATCAAAAAAAGTGACCCGTAATATCCTAACCTGTGTGGAGTCCCATCTTGGCCTGGCCCACACACGCCAGCCGAGGGCTGGGCCCGATGGCCTCACCCGGGGCCTATGCTACAGCAAGTGTTGACTGACTCCTGGAATTGACTGACTACCTCGCTGAGACTGAGAAGTGTCACAGGACAGACTGCCAGGTCTTTTGTTACCCAAGATGGGACATGAAAGCAAATCAGAGCACCCCAAAACAACGCTGCTGCCCAGCTCAGAGAGAGCTGGGGAAAAGATCGAAGTTCCGAGTCCCAGGGACAGTTTCCACCATGGGACAAATGACTTCAGCCACTGCCGTCAGACCCCCTGCTGCGCAAACAGCGCTCCTCCTGCCTCAGTCTCCCGTTTTGCTTTTCACTGGGTTGCTTTGGCCGTCGTGCGCGGAGGACCTGCAGCGCCATCTGAGCTTTGCAGTCCTGAGCTCCTCGGCCCTGCGCTGATGGTGGGGCCACCGGCTTCCAGCCCAGCCCTCCCCGGGCCCCACGCACTTGAGGTCGGTTTGGAGTTTGGAGCCGAAGGGAGGCTTTGCCGGCGGCAAGTCCGGGACCCAGAGAACCTGTGGAAGGAGCTCAAGCCGCTTTTGCCCAGCGGCGCTGACTCCTTCTGGGGCCCTAAATTAACTAAGAGCAGGAGAAGCCTGGCCTCCCTGCCTCCATTTTGTGTCTGTCTTTGCTCTGAGCCGTCCTCTCTGCAGTCACTTTACAAACACCTTGGATTCCAGAAAGGACAGAACCGATAAGACCTTATGACAAGGGACGGAAACTCCCCATAGGGAACAGTGGAACGTGCAGGACAGACTCCTCCAAATGAGGACCATGACCTCAATGATGAGGCTGCACCTGGAGCAGGAGCGATCGTCTCACGGGAACCAGATGGCTCCCCTCAAGGGATGACAGCGATGACATCTTCTCTGGAACCCCGCTGGGGACCCTTGGGCTGAGATAGTGGTCAGCCAGACCTCACCTGTGACTGGGACTGTGCATATCTTTGTCCCCGTCCCCAGTTCTTTGTCTACTTAAACCTACAGCTCATGTCTGGACCCCAAAGATGGCTGCAGATGGCTGAGTGCCCGCTCTGCCTCTTCCCACGGATGTCCCCAGCCCTGTAACAAACCTCCTTCCTCTGCCTCCACCACGTCTCGTTATTTGGTGTTTAGGGGCGGGTGGACGGACCTGCATGTGGAATCCCAGGAGTTTGGGCCTGGGATCCAAAACTCCGGTTTCAAACTCAGTTGTAGACAAAAAAGCATTTGTGAGTCGGGGGCTGTGTGCGCAGTGGACGACTTGGACGTCACCACACTGGGCCAGAGGAAGTGGCCAGTGTGAATCCTGCCTCTCCTTTGTTCCTTAAAAGTGTCGTCTACACACCTGCCCCAGGGCCTTTGCACTCGCTGTGTCCTTTGCGGGAATGGGCTTTTCTCATTTCCTCTCACTTTCCCCCTTCGCCCACTGTGTCTCCGCTTTGGGACACAGTGTCCTATTACAGGACAGCTGACCAGCTTCCTCCACAGCAGCCTGCGTCTTGACTTCACAGAATTTCTGCGTCCGCTTCAACCAAAATGACTGTCACCACAGACGGGGTGCAAAGAGCAGATGGGATCATTCGGTTACCGTCTGTCAGGGCGGCG